TAACCTCTTTCCCTTCAATTCCATCACCATTTTTTGCAATGTTGACAGATTTTTGGCATATTTTGAGTATTTATCAAAAAAATAATTTTAAGAAAACCGAAATTCTTATGAAAGGAACGTAAAGATATATATTGTCCTTCGAATAAAAATTAATTCCTTTTGTTTAGAAACATCTTTCGATGGTAAATTTTACATTCAACAGCGATTTACAGGGATAAACACATTTTAATTAATTAAAAGATGTAAAATTGTTGACAATCTGTTTGAAATACTATATACACTATTCGAATTCTAGTAGGTATTGACAGCTTTCTGATTCTGACAATGTGAGTGAAACAATTACAGGGAAAACGGACCCTACCTCTTTATTACAAAAAGTACTGTACATGTCGGTCCTGAATTTCAGTGTTGGTATCTTTATGCTTAAAAGTAAAAAGTGTTTGTATTCTAATTTTCTAGTCCTAAAAGTATTCATATCTTGACAGCTGTAGACACTTCACAGAGTATTAACCGTCTGAAGTAGGCTTTATTTATAGTATTGTGGTTTGCTGCCCTCTCGAGCTGGTATTCATTAACTGTCACTTGTTGGATTCAGACTGTTCATCTAAGACTTTGGTTTAAAAGTTGTCACTTAACTTCCAGATCAAACTGTTAACATTTGAGCAGGAACTGACACATAAAAGGGCTTCATGTCAGATATTTATGATGAATGTTTCTCTTTCTTTTTTATTATGCTAAGAATATTTTTTATTTAAATATACAAATGAAATGTATCCACTTAAACTAAACCTTACATAGTCTGGTTATATACTTTAGTATATAAAATATGTATATAAATATGCAATAAATGTATATTGTCGGAAAACATATAATTTATTTCTATGAGCTTTAGAAACAGGACGAAAAGCGCGGCTCGCCGAGCTTTTCTCCTGTTTCGTAGCGAGTACAAATAAATTTTATATTTCAGACAATGTACAGATATTGTTTTATACTGTAAATTACACCTGGCATTTTAAGGTTTAGTTGTTTAAATCGAAATAGCTGTCTCTGTTTAACGCGGACCGCGAAGAGAACCCAAAAGTGAACTGTTATCCAAAAAGAAATATTCATAATAAATAACTGTATTGTTTTCTGTCTATCGTTTTGTTATTTGTTTGTTTTTCTTTAGTAACAATCCTATTGTTTGGATTTTAAACTAATATAATTCTTATTCTTATTCTTATTCTTATTCTTATTACCGTTTGCTCAACATGAAAGCGGAGTAACAGAAGACTTTATTTGTACAGGTACAAGTACAAATAAAGCAAAAATGTACTTGTGTACATATTATTTGTACAATAGTTGGCTAATTGCAGGATAAATTGTGATCATTGTCTGCTTTAGCCCATGCTAATTTGAAGTATTATGGTTAACCTTCAAACCAAAATTAATGCCTTTTCTTTTACTATTGCTAATTTTTCATTACTTGATGGAGGCTGTCCCAATTGCTGCTTCTAACAACGGGATGAAGGTGGAGTCATTTTTACGAAAGTTTTCACGGATGCAATTATAATTCACTCTTCTAAAACATGAATCTGAATATGAATGGAAAATTAACTATATATATATGTATATTTAGACCCCTCTAACAAGAAATTTGTTTTGCATGCACACGTATAAAAATTGCGGTTTTTATCCAACGCAATCATAGGTTTGAACGTTGTTTTCAATTTAGACTTGTTTATATATATATATGAATTATCTATTGTAAAGGATCCTACAAATTAATGTAAGATGCAGTCACAGAAAATAATTATATTATAAGTACGTCTGAACCAGTGACTACTCTACAACAGATTTTATCCATCGGATCACCAGCAGTGATGGTGATACAAGGCTGAAAATACATTCTGTATATATAATTCGTCCAAACAACAGCCCAACAATGTTAGATCTGTATATTTGCGGAAGCAAATTTTTTTGTTCTTCCCTGGCCGGGATTCGAACTACTGATGCTACTGAGATGTCGTGGCACCAAATCGCCTTGCACTATGCCCGACGCGCTAGACAAATCGACCACCTATATATATTTAACAAACACTTGATCTTTGCAATTAAGATTTTAATTTTTAATTAAAGTTCAATTACTAAAGTATATAAAAGTATTGAACTGCTGGAAAAAAATCAACGATTAACGGTAATAGTATTTACTGTAAAACCACAAAATGAATACATGGCTTCGTTAATTGCCCTCACTTGTGGTTGCATTTATGTATTAAGCTCTTCAAATTTTGTTTCTAATTACAAAATGTATTTGGTTTAAGATACTGGTGATGCTTCTGCTGTAATCTCCTTATGTAAGCATATTGGACTTCTGTATGAATAAATCCTGGACATTAAAGGAACATTCGCTGAATGTGTTGAATTTGCTGTAGGGACAATGATAATCCGTTATTCAAATACTAACCAATTATCGTCCGCGATGTTCCGAGAGCGGAATGACACTTTTATATTAACAATGGCCATTTAAAACCTTAACAAAGCTGACACTGTTGGGAGTCGCCATTAACGAGAAAATTGGTTCAGTCAACAAGAAAATGTATTTATTGGAGAATAAAAGAGAACGATTTTACGCTAAATATTAACAAGAAGTGTTGATAAATATTATACTAGGGTTTAAACAACGTGTTGTTATAATCTGTACTGTCAATATACCTAGTAGTTTGAATGGTCAGTTGTTCGGCCAATACGGTCAGCAGTGGACAGTAAACAATCAGAGATAATGTGTCAATATTTGTCCTATTGTCAATCACAAGTGGATGGAGTTTGTATCAATTGTGGATAGATTGGCTACTGTGACGTTGTTACTGTGCATTGATCAGAGGAATCACTCAAAAGAACAGTTGTTATGTGACATTGTATTTTTTGTGTAATTTGTATCATATATATTTTCTCTTTATATTTGTAAATAGAAATGTTTTTGGAAGCATGGATTGCAAAGTGTTCACAGGAGGGGGGGATAAGATTATTTCGTCAGTTTTAATACATTTGATGTCTACTTATTGTATTTTAATTTGTATATCTATTGTAATTGACTGTTTATTATTTGCATTTATAATTTATTTAACGATAATAGTTTTGCATATATCTAAATTTTATCGTGCTGTGTACTTATTCATTTTAAATATATCAAATCTGTTTGTTTTTCAAACTGTCAGAAAATCTTTTTTTTCATATTGTGTGTACTCTTTTAAACCTCGGTATGAATTCCTTTGAAAATAAAACAGACGTTGGAAAATTTACGTTAGTTACTATGCGATATCTGCACAATTACGGGATTTTATCAAACGTGTTCAAGCTTGCATTTATTTGTATAGTTCTTTTGGTTTATGAATGTTTAAATACGAAAGACATAATGAACAAATATTTATATTAATCGTTAAAAAGCATTTATGATAATATGCGAATGTTTTAATTTGTTCATGACTTAACTTGTGGTAGTAGTAGTAGTAGTAGTAGGTTATGTCTACCGCGAAAAAGCAGTAGGACTTGTCCTAGTAATATGATAGATATAATTAAACAGGACAATAACATAACAATAGTTTAGAATTTGATAAAAGAGGCGGAAGATACAAAGGGAGAGTGTTTAAATGCCAATCTGCATAAGAATCAGGCAGTGGTGAAAACATGACAAACAAAAACCCACTCAAGTTGACATTAATTCATGTTCAAAATGTATAATGGTGCACAAATATAACATTCGTTTCCTTTTCCTGTTCTGGTAATTCAAGATATAATTTGGATAAAATGCACTAGAAATTAACAATTAAGTGGAGCTAACTCCGTTATTTGCTATCATTCTAACCAAAAGTTACCTAGAGATTTCTTGAATTACCAGACACGCAGAAACGAAAGACCTACCATTTCTATCTCAGGATGAGGGAAACTTCAAAATAGGATGGTTAGATCGGTGGTTTTTTTTCGGCCATGTTTTGATATTTTTCAAAATTGCCTGATTCTTAGAAAGACTGGCACTTAATTCAGTTTCTGAATTATTTTCATATGTGATATACACATAAATAGGCAACAGTACTATATCCATGTTCAAAACTGTAAATCAATCTTTAATATAAAAATCAGAATACAAAAAAAAACCTTTGATAATCGCATGAACTCCATAAGCAGCGTGACCGGATGTGTCGATAGAGTGTCTCCTGATATGCCTGCATCACCCGTTATGTATATTTTTTCACTTCATAAAATGACAGGTTTTTTTATATATGGTAATTCAAAGTCAAAACTGTTGAAATTTTTGAAATATTTACGTGTATTCTATGCATTTTGTACTTCCATTTTCAGAATATTTAAAATGCTTTTTCTCGGAAAGTGTAACCATTACATGTATCATTTTTAGATATTTGTATGCAGCTTTTCGTGCACTAGTAGCATGCAATTCCACACAAAAAAAACCACGAGATCGCCCATTTACGTACCTGTTACCTTGAAATACAAGATTTTACAATAAAGATATTCCTGACCTAAGCACTTTTAAATATTTTTTTGTCGAACGTAATTTTCGGAAGAAATCAACATCATATGTAGTCAGATGGCCTATAATTTCTTACATCCACTTCATTTGAGCTCTGGTGGATAGTTGTCTCATTGCGGCAATCATCTCCTTATTTTTATAATCATAGTGATAGCAAACCAGTACAAAAGCACTGGCTACTAGACTGATTAAATCCATCGATCCAGCAGTGAAAGCCGACAAAAAGACAAAGATACCACACCATATAACATTTACCCAAACTAAATATAAAATGCCGAATGTGGGAAAAATAATTCATAATATAAATAAAACTTACTTATTTTTATATTCGGATAATCTATTATGCGTTCAAATGAAAATTAACTATTTTCAATTTTTTCGATGCATCAGTAAGCATCGAGGCTCTCGTGTTATTGGTATTTAGAATTAATGGGATTGGTGGCTAATTTAAGTCGTATAATCATACAGGACAACAAATTTATTTCTTTAATATATAAGATAACAAAAACTTGTAACCAAACTGATTACAACACATGTCAATAAATTATAAATTTAAAAGAAAAAACTAAAATCTTGTTACATTTCGACAAGTACACAAAGGAATATTTGCACATGCTTAAAGATTCGGAATTTCTTCTATGTAATTTGTAATTGCACTGCAATATTCGGAATTTCCAGAACGTACCTTTCTCGAACTGGAAGCACTATCAATGTCCATTCGTATATCACTGATATAGACGTTCTAACGACTGACATATACAACAGATAAACTACAATGGTCATGTGTTCATGTTGTTTCATCGGGATCCGTTTCCACGACATCTATTTCCTCTTCCGGTTCTGATTCGTCATGGTGTTGGTTATTTGGCACTGATATCGTCGAAGCACTAGATTTAAAATGACTAAACGGAAAACTTGCGGGATGTTTGAAATAATTGTCTTCTGGGTTTGATTCTGGAGTATCACAATCTCTAGAATGTTCATCAGATTGGGTGTTTGTATCAGTCGAAGAATCAAGTGGCTTTTTCTGGAGCTTTTTATGTTTCATTCTCCTATTCTGGAACCATGTCTTGACCTAATTTGAAAAAAAAAATATATATCTTATTTTCTCCATATTTCATAATCATTATAATATTTGAGATGATCTTGTACTTTTGCATTTTAAAACGAAATCAAAATAATCTAAATAAGAAAGGATTATTGGGGACAAAATAAGTAAAATGATTCACTTATAGTGTCTGCTAGACATTTTTAAAGCTTCCCTACTTCCCAATCGATGGGGTTCTTGTGTATAAAAGGGCATCTTAAAATTATGGTTCAAGATGTTATCGTGTATTTTTATCCATTTTATAAGACTCCAGCACTTCTTATTTCTGTTTTAAAGATAACACAAAGATACATCAAATATGACAGATTTTTCATACTTTGCCAAAATGTAACTTTGAATCATCCTTTTCCCTAAAATTGTATAAAAAGTTTTAAGTCTATAAAAAAAAATTTAAGCTACAAAGTTGTTATTATATATAGGGGAAAACATAAGAAAGTTAAAAAAGAAAGAAAATAGAACAATTTAAAAAGACACTTAATGACAGATTTTATTGAGTTCTTAAAAAAATGAATCGCGATTAACATTCTATTACAAATATCATTATAGGAGTTAACTCCCCACGAGGATCACATTTTTCAAGAACTGTTTTTTAGGAGCCGTAACTTCAGATCATAAAGTGACGAAATGTTACACTTATACTTCCAAAAGAAGAAGTCTTGATAAGACCAATTTACAGTGCCTTCAATTGCAAGATTCCAATGTGTTTTGAATATAGCACAAAAAGACAATGGTATGCCATAATTTCAATTAGTCATACATATTTTCTTTTTTTTTTTAAAGAAAAAAAAGTTTATTATTGAAGAAATCACAAACCGATAAAATCAAAAATTCTAAAAGGTAGCTTTTCTCAGTTTCAGACAAGTAAATCGTGGTTTTTATCCCTCAAATTATATGACGTCGTCTAATCAAAATCGTCGTTACAAACGAATTGCAATGAGCATAGTTTATATACAACCTTATTTAACTATGCGTAAACCCGCTGTGCAATACCACACGTATTTCTAAAAATAACATATTTATCAAGCCGTTCACCTTAGTATACTTTGTTTTATCAAATTGAGTTGGGCATAACGTCAGGGTTTTTTATCATTTGAATTTCATTTTTGTTTCTGATTAACGAAGTTACGCTACTTCTGATTGACACCAACCTGTGTGGCGCTTTCTCTAATTGACAATTGAATCACATGTCTGTTTCTGAAGGACACCTGAATTAAACCTGTATTTCTCATAAACTAATTTAAGCTATTCAAGGTTAAGACTTCCTAAGCTATACTTCTTTTCTGGAACTCCTAATTGACATTGATAAATTGGTTATGCTAATTTTAATTTCATACCTTTGTTTCTAATACACTAAGTTATGCAAATTCTAATTGATACCTAAATCATCACCATGTTTCTAATGCATAAGACATGGTTTTTTAAAACATACCTGTGTTTCTGATAAACTAAAGCAAATGCTTCTTCTTATTAACACTTGGAGCATACAGTTTGTACCTCTGTATGTGATATACTGAGAATTAGTACTTCTGATCGACGACTCGAAACATAACTAAATTTCTGATGCATAAGCATTTTTTTTATTGACACTTTAAATCATACCTGTGTTACACTTAATTATGTTACTTATGATTGTAACTTGGTCTACAGCTGTGTTTCTGATAAACTGAAATAGTGCTACTTCTGACTGACATTAGAATCACTCCTGTGTTTCTTCTGATACATTAAGCAATGCTTTGTTCTAATTAACACTTGAAGCATACATATGTTACACTGAGTAATGCTTCTTCTGATTGACACACGATTCATACCTGTGATTCTGAAAATTGAGTAATGCTACTTCTGATTTGACGTTAGAATTGAATCATACCTGTGTTTCTCTTTAACAATGAAGTGCTACTCTTATTAAATCATACCTGTATTTCTCGTAAACAATGTAGTGCTACTCTTATTGAATCATATCTGTGTTTCTTGTTAACAATATAGTGCTACTTCTTATTGAATCATACCTGTATTTCTCGTAAACAATGTAGTGCTACTCCTATTGAATCATACCAGTGTTTCTCGTAAACAATGTAGTGCTACTCTTATTGAATCATTCCTATGTTTCTCGTTAACAATATAGTGCAACTTTTTATTGAATCATACCTGTGTTTCTCGTTAACAATGAAGTGCTACTCTTATTGAATCATACCTGTGTTTCTCGTTAACAATGAAGTGCTGCTCTTATTGAATCATACCTGTGTTTCTCGTAAACAATGTAGTGCTACTCTTATTGAATCATACATGTGTTTCTCGTTAACAAATTCAGTGCTAATCTTATTGAATCATACCTGTGTTTCTTGTTAACAATATAGTGCTACTTCTTATTGAATCATACCTGTGTTTCTCGTTAACAAATTCAGTGCTAATCGTATTAAATCATACCTGTGTTTCTGATAAGCTAAGTTGTGCTGCCAATTCTACTCTCTCCGGTGTAGAAAGATATCTTTGTGTTTCAAATCTCTTTTCAAGACCATTGAGTTGTTGATCACTAAATACTGTCCGAGCTTTCCTTCGCCGACAATGTTTTCCTGGACTGTCGTGTTGGAATAACGGATTTAGAGGAAATCCTGAAATTAATTGTGTATGTTTTAAAACAAGAGTCTAATTTTATTTCTCATTATTTCTGTAACCAAATTTATAGATATACTGTTGCATTTCATATCAGTTTTGTAACATGATGTTTTATTGGCGTTAAAGTATACACGTGGTATATACTATACAAAATTAATGTTTTGAATTTATTACTTTATTAATGAATTGTAAAAAATTGTCAAGAAAAAATGCCTGCAATCAATGTATATTTAAAGTTCCTTGATTTAGAACAGCTTCATAATTTTTAAGTTTTTATAAATGTTTTTCAGACTAAAATTAAAAACAAATTTATGAAGATAAGCGTTGACTTTCTTTGCGAAATAAACGTTATAGTAACATCCCTCCGTGGATGTCAGTATAGATGTCAGATTTGTAATAAAATAAGATTAGTAACAAGTTTAAAGAAACAGTTACCTCATGAAGAATATAAGTGGAAAATAGATTATGTCTATTATACAAATCAAAATATAGAAATTATACCTTAGATTGATTGTGTGCAAAATTGAAAAAAAACCTAATTTACAGCATTTAGTGTTAGAACTATAGTTTAATTCAGTAAAAACATCGACAACCTTAAATTCCCAAGTATCTCTTATTATCATTTATCCAAACTCGGTAAAAAAATAAAAGATGAAATTGAGAATGGAAATGGGGAATGTGTCAAAGAGACAACAACCCGACCACAGAACAGACAACAGCAGAAGGCCACCAACAGGTCTTCAATGCAGCGAGAAATTCCCGCACCCGGAGGCGTCCTTCAGCTGGCCCTAAACAAATATATATACTAGTTCAGTGATAATGAACGCCATACTAAACTCCAAATTGTACACAAGAAACTAAAATTAAAAATAATACAAGACTAACAAAGGCTAGAGGCTCCTGACTTGGGACAGGCGCAAAAATGCGGCGGGGTTAAACATGTTTATGAGTATATTTGAATGACAAGACGGGACGAATATTAAAGAATTGTGAAAAAAATACGTATAGGGTATCATTGAAAGCTACTTTTAAAATGAAAAACGCACTATAGCATCAACAATTCAATTATTACGATAACGGGCTGTTTGTATATTTATGTTCTTGTTTACTTCTTCATTCTTCATTTCAAAACCCTGTTCTTATAAGAATGAACCAATTGTGTAAGTGTTCTATGCATCGTGCATATCGTCTTTGTTTTTTATTTGTGCTTTAAGTCATTTTTGCTTACATTTTCTAGTTGTGCCTAAATCTTAGTTGTTGTGCTTTAATTTTAGTTATGCTTTAATTTTAGTTATGCTTCAGTTTTGGCATGTTAAGATGTGTAGTTTAGTAGTGCTTTGCATGTATTTCAATATGCCTGTGTTGTATCTATGCATTTGAAATATGTGCTGCTTATATATCTTATCTGCATGCTCACTGTTTTAATGTTATGTATATGTTGTTTTTTTACAGATAAGTATTCATATTTAGTGTATATACTGAAACAGGTATGTACATATACTGTCTGCTAATAAGATGAAAAGAAAATCAAAATAGTATATCTTGTATTTCATTGTTTATTATCTAGTTATCGCCCTTGATTCGATTTTTTACAGTGCATTCTTTGAAAAATACATTAAAAACACATGCATCATAATCATAGGTAAAATCATAAGTAAATATATTTAAACTTAAGAAGCCCAGACAAGTAGGCTACCTAGACATTCATTTTCTGAACTGCATATTTCACGGTATAGTATTCGAGCAAATGATAACGTTTGTTCCAGGGGCATACGTGCTTAATAGAGTATATAATATGTTGTCTGTAGACTGGAAATAACAAGTAAATTAATGACAATTTTATAAAGTATTTATAAATATTAGAAAATATTGATATATGAAACTTTCTATTTCCTTGTAATCACTTCAGAAATGGTAAAGTATTATATATGCATATATCCTTTTCAATAAAATGCTACCTCAAACGAAATTTAGAAAAGGTTTCTTTTGTGAGTAATTCACTCTATACTGCGTCATATTCAAATTGTTTCAAACTCAATTTGGTCTTGAAAATTATCTGGATTTCGAAACTGGCAACTTTCAATCTTAAAATTCCTATAGAAATTGGTCAATGGTAGAACATCCCTAGAAACGACCGTACATATACCATATGCAATGAATGTGTTGGTGATGAATGTCATTATTTATATGTATACAATAGCAATACTATTTCTGATCTGACATTCCTAAATATTATACTACAAACCCGTCTGTACTGAAATTGCTAAAAGATGCTGTCATTATGTCACTGTAAATCGTTACCTAACCTTTATATCAAGAAACTGTCTAAAGCCTTCTGAATAGAAACATATTCAGTTTTTTAATCTATAGAATTTACATTTATGTTGTTAGTTTCCTGTCTATTCTGTCATTTATCGTGTTTGATTTGTATTTTTTCTTAATGTTACACATATTTAAGTGTAAATAAAAGAATTGACTTGGATCTAAATAGAGACACTGTTGCTCATTTCATTGTCTGAAAAGCATACCAACGAATCAAATGTATTATAACATTTAACTTGTCAGCAAGGCATGCATAGCATTTTCTAAGTTTTGAAGCAACTGGAAATTGGGTTGTAAATTTTCAATGTTTTATTGTTATTAAAATTCCAAACCACTGATATGTTTGTCAAACGTTCAAATATCTTAATAAATCTCATTTTCAAATAAATAACCGTTAAAAGGGTGATAACTCAATTGTTTCACTTTCGACGCAGCCTTTAACGCTATCGATTTGATTTCTCTTGTTTACTATTAAAAATGATTTGTGTGTATTTTTTTTTGTTTTTTTGTTTTTTGTTGTTGTTTTGTTTGTTTAGATTTTTTAATACTATGTTATCGTAATATTTATCTGTCCTCTGTTTATCAAATTTTCGTATAAATTGGCAGCATGAAAATACTATTTAATGGATAATTATTATTCAAACAATCTGAAATATTTTGATATTTCAAAGACCCGTTGGGTCTGACTTTTTATGTGATACAAGACAGGGGCATTTGAACCCTGTCTAATTTCACATCGACCCCATTGTCTATATTACGGGAAAAGTTTTTAAAAAAATCAGTGTTGCAATAAAATTGATTACAAAATTAAGTAAATAAGTATAATACAATGCTTCATAAACAACCATCCAGGATTAAGCCATTAACTAGTTTGAAGCAATCAGATTGTTACCATTTCTGTATACAACTCGAGTTACATTTTCAACTGCGGAAATAAAAGAATTTTGACAATTTATTAATCAATTTCCATTTCACTTTTCACCAATGACATGTTTTGGTATTATAGAACAAACGTTACCAACATGTATTAATTTGTAAATCACGACTCAACAGAACATAATAACAACTAAATTAGTTCTACTAGTATTCAGGGTTTTTTTTTATTTGATATAAATTGTAATTGTTTGTATGCTGAATTACTCTAAAAGATGTTTTTTTTATCAAGTGATATAAACTATTTAAGAACTAATGACAACTGTATGTTGAGTCAGGTTTCTTGTGTCTGTCAAAGGGATAGTCAATGCAATAGAAATGTCGCATTTGGTTGAACTATTAAGTTTTAACGTTCATACCAACCAGGGGCACAGGAAGTTTTATACGTTCTTTATTTAAATTCATATAAAACATATACAATGATTATCTATTAGATTAACTTAATAAAGAACCATTTGTAGGGATGATAACAATACGCATTATTTATGCAAATATCGTTCAAATGGGATAGTAAATAAATAAATAAGTACAAGAAAAATAGTTTTATATAATTCATGATAATACTCAAATTATTTTGTCCCATTAGTTTTATAAAAACTTTGATAATTCAATAAAAAAAAAAGAAGAGAGAAATGGATTTTTTAAAACATATTTATGTTATTTACTTAAAATATCAAGAAAGGCATATATTGCAAATATTAAATGTATCTTTGATCGGCAAACACAAAAAAAAATATTGTTTTTTTTTATCTCATAGAATAAGCGTGAGAGGAATATAAAGACTGGATTATTGGGGTTAAATAGTTAATGTTTCAACGAAATGAAAGTGCTGACAGTAACTAGCAACAGTGAAACGCTCAGATCAGGAGGAGTAACTCTTATCAAAGTCAAAGTCCCGACAAATTAATAGATTTAAATTATCAAAAAGAACTTTATCCCATTAAGTATATAAACACCTCAATAGAGATATCAAGATTTAATTATATCTATATTAACACAATGTAATACTCAAGATATATCTCTATAATTCCTAGAATAAAGTCTTTTGCTTCGATAGTAAAACTATGACAATCCAATAAATACTGGATCAGACTGTTTTCTTATTATAATGATGAAAAAATAACTAATTTTTACAGTTTCATGCTTGAAATTATGCCGCTGAGTTCTTTGTTTGATATTAAAAAATTACATAACTTCTTCTTGTTCTTTTTTTATTCAGGTCTTACATTGAATATAAATATTAAAAATGGATTGCAAAAAAGGAGTGAACTCGGTAGTTTATTTACTGTTGAAAAAAAACTTCAAATGATGAAAGTTCAATAGTCTTCGATTGTTTTAACCTTTTTATGTGCCATGGGTTTTAAAACCTTATTTAGTTTATATTTCCATTATTTATTTTTTGTATTCATAGCTTCGATTTATAGAGACCACACGATTGGAAAACATATTCCAATCTCTTTTAAAATCGATATAAATAATTTGAAACCCTAAGCAGCAATACTAGAAAGTGAAAATGGACCTATGGTCATCATGGTCATTATTACCTTCAAAGTCTACTAATTACAGGTATTAATCTCTCCGCCAGTAAGTAGTCCGACACTATAATTGCAATTATTTATCACATAAGCAGGTGATAAAACAAACATTAACATTAAAAAATAGATATCTGAGGATTACTATCTACTAGTGTGAAAAAACAATCACAAAACTTTAACGGATTAAGTAAAACTGTGTAATATATGACCACTGGTGGGAGTTTGAGCGTTGGTTCGTTTGTCCAAAAAAAGACAGATATTGTGCGACACAATTTGCGTAAAATTTAATTTACTATAGAACTATTACCCAATATTTAAGAATCGCAGCAATACTAGGTACTAAATACTAGCGTTATTTCCGGCTTATGAGTTAAAGTGTTCTATGTATTTCTTTGGTTTTAAAATGTTGTCAGTATATACGTTTTACTTTGTGTTCGTTTTTAAATATATAGACAAACCAAGTGTTTCTTCTTTTTAAATTCTTAATTCGTTACTTTGCAAATTATGGCGGAATTTTCGCATTCTTTACAAATTGTTCATTTTGAATTATTTATTTGCCATACTTTTAAGTATTTAGATAAACATATGCTTAGTATTAAGCATAATAAAGCCACCGTACATTTACCCATATGATGTGTGAAAATGCTCTTATATAATGAAATCATGGTTTCGCCTGTCGGCATCAGCATCATCATTTAATTACAGGAACATTTAATAGATAAAAGAAGTGAAACATGTTTTTAAAAAAAATTAAGAAGGCTCTTATGAATGTAAAGAGTTTACGATTGTGGTTTCATGCGGCTATGATTAATGGAAATTGTTCTTCCCTTTAGGTTCAGTGGGAAATATTTCATGTGTTATGAGGACGAGTGTGTTTAAGAATGTATAGAGTTTACGAATGACCTCTTATTTAGGAAAGAATGTGGCACAAGTTAAGAAAATAAAACATTCATAGCTTTTGTCCACTCATTACTGTTTTATTTAATAATACGGTTTTTATTTTAAGTAAAGGAATTTTGCTTTTATGTAAATTCAGAATTGTATTTTTAATTTTTTTTTCTCTCTCAAGATTTCAAGATTTATTTGTACATTAAGTCACTATTTTTTAAATATTTATATTTACGTCTTAACTTCCAGAGGAATACAAAAATTAGTCTCGCATGATGAGACATGAAATATCTAGAAAAAGCATGGAAGAAAAAATGATTTTTGTAACTTTTTGAAACCACGTTTTTGGGCTGTATACTTTTATAGAATAAATTACAAATCTAGACATCTTTTTATGATTAATTTTAAATAATTGCGTTGAATCAATCTGTGATATTTTATATGTACATTTATTTATGCGCAAGAAATTCAAAATATTTATATGTAAGTGATGAAATTTATAAAACATTCTTCTATTTTTAAAGAAGTGAAATCAAGATAAAAATAAGGTTAAGATAAAAAGAAATGTATTGTCAAAGCAGGTTAATATATATATCGATGATAAATTTCAGTATGCAATCCAAATAAAACCCAAATATTTTAGAAAGATATATAAAAAGAAAAAGCTAAATGACAATATCTAATAAAATAAACTTACCAGCCGTTGGTATCAGGAACGGGTGGTCTGAATGCTTGTGTAGAAAGTTCTGTGCTTGTAAAACTTGATGAGGATATAGTAGATGTGTTCCAGGAATGCACTGGAATCCGTATTCTGGTATGCCGGGACGGAAAAGTCCATGGTTTATTTCTGCACGGCACATTGTCTTTGGTTTGTTTAACAAGATATCCTCGATAAAGAACGATGTTGGTCTTGATGTAGAATTTTCAGAAAAAGAACTAATGTTCATTTTTCTCTTTCAAAGTAATAAATCTAAAAAAAATATATGTCCAAATTTTCTGAAAATTAAACTTTCAAAATTGATCAGTTGTCATTAAAATGTATTTGTTATTATTTTTATTTCGCCATGTGCCACTATAAAATGTTATCTTTTATGTTCAAATGTAAATAAATGACGTACAAAAGATGAAAATTTTGTCCATTTAAGTAAACTTATAAATAGCCAATCAGATACGGTGATTTAGAAGTCGACATCACATGATTAGCTGGAAGAAAATCTTCCGGAGGTGTGATTAATGAAATGTTATTAGAAAATTGATGAAATTAATCAGCACGAGGGACTTGTTACAGTCGTGTAATTTACCATTTCCTATCCCCTTACTCCGGTAATTAGTAATTCCGGACTTTTTAGTTTTGATTTCTGATCATTTGGAATTTGTGCTTGCCATCTGAGTCCGGTAATCTTTTGGTGACGAGTTGCATAGTGATTAGGTTGTCTGCGAGTCCCGTATAATCACAAAAAGCTTTCATAAAGATTTTCTTCATATAAATGATCTCTGTATTTTTTGTATCTTATTTTTAATTGATTAGAAATATATCTTGGAATAATGTATGTTAATAAATCATAAAATAATAGAACATACTTTCTCATATATTGACCGAGCTAACTTTTATACTCTAAATTGATAGCTTTACCCCCCCCCCCCCCCCCCCCGAAAAAACCTTTGATTTTACATGTTTATAGTTTACCGGAAATCCAAACATCTTGATAACATTTTACATAAAAAAAGTACATTACTATTATATAAAAAGAAGATGTGGTATGATTGCCAATGATACAACTCACCACCAGAAACAAAATGACATAGAAGTTAACAACTATAGGTCACCGCACGACCTTCAACAATGAACAAACCCCATTCCGCATAGTAAGCCATAAAAGGTCCCAAAATGACAAATGTAAAGCAATTCAAACTAAATCTGTTAATTGATAATGTGAAAAAAGCATTATCGATACAAAGGTTAAGAAAAGACGCAGGAGCTTAAGCACAAAAGAGGTAGGGCCGATTTCTCCTGAATTAATTTCACACAACAGCCTTTATAAAAAAATCTTTCAATCTTTTTTAAACTCACAGTATCAGCTCCATGTACGTATTTCCAGATTATAACAATAGCATGGCTTATAGCTCAAAATTGAAATTATGACAGATTTTGGCAAATTTTAATTATTTATCTCTAAAATTTGCAGAAGTGACATCCCTATTATCAAAACCAAAATTTTGTTGGAAATACTAAATATTGTCTTTCGGATACAATTTAATCTATTTTGGTAAGCGTACTTCAATGCATTATGTTTTAAAAAAAATCATGTAAAATTTGCAATGTGTACCAAAATGTGTTCAACAGAAACATGTTGCAACGCATAACATTTTGATTTTATAGAAATATATGAATTATTACAGGTGTTTTAAGTATATGAAATCGTCACTTTGATATTCAATTTCCAGTATAGGATTTGAAAACTTTAAGATTTCGACTCTGTGAGTTGAAAAAATACAGGGGAAATGGCCCTACTTCTTTTAGATGACCTTTAGCAAATTGAACTAATTATTTAAAAAAAAAACTATATATATATATGTATATAGGACTTCTTATATGCAAGTCTAAATTGAAAACAACGTTCAAACCTATGATTGCGTTGGATAAAAACCGCAATTTTTATACGTGTGCATGCAAAACAAATTTCTTGGTAGAGGGGTCTAAATACAGCACAAACAACATTTTCCAAATATGTATATATCTTTATTCTGATAAACCTTTGCCAATACAATGGTATACAGAAGTTACATGTAAAAAATAGCACAGATATGATTACTAAAAAAAACTATATATATGTATACAGGACTTCTCTAGCTCGTTTATGCTTATATAGGAACCTGTTGTTCGGTGGTTGTCGTTTGTTGATGTGGTTCATATGTATTTCTCGTTTCTCGTTTTTTATATAGATTAGACTTTTGGTTTTCCTGTTTGAATTGTTTTACACTGGTCTTTTTGGGGCCCTTCATAGCTTGCTGTTTGGTGTGAGCCAAGGCTCCGTGTTGAAGGCCGTACTTTGACCTATACTTATTTTCTTTTTACACATTGTGACTTGGATGGAGAGTTGTCTCATTGGCACTCATACCACATCTTCTTATTTCTATATATATAGTTTATATTTTAATTGAACATGACTATGCTGTTTAAAATCAATTTGTAATTGTGAAAGCACTATAACCCTGACAAGACCCGCTAGTTTTAAACTTGTATAGCTATTTTCTGTCTGCAATATTAACTGAAAATATGGGATATTTCTGTCAGAAAAAAAACATAAAGGTATAATTTTTTACATCCTCTGCCTTTATGAGTGAAATTGTCTGATTTATATTTTTGTCTCAATAACTGAAATGGTACTTCTGTGGTGTATATAGCTGCTAGGTAAATAGATTATGAGCTGTATTTTTATAACGAAAAAAGTACCTTTTTAAAATGATGAATAATTAGTGTTATATTCTAGGTATCTCTTTAATGTTTAAAAAAATTTGAATTTTTACATATTCATAATTTGCAGGTAATTGTAAATCATTCATTACTTTTATTATTTAGTTTTTATCCGTGAAGATTTTGTCTCCGTATAACAAGAGTTTTTGTTGTTAACATGCATAAAAGGAGATACATGTATGTCAATGAGACCAGCAATTTTAAAACACAATAAAACCATAAAACCCTAATTATAATTTCTTAAATTGAGGTTATCGACGGACGGAGAAGTTTATACTTTGATATACGAAATATTAATATAAAAAAATGTTCACGAATATAGAGAAGTTGTGAATAAATCTAATATAAACTGCAAAATATCTGTCATCCGCAACAAAAAGTTCAATAAACAACACAACCATTGAAGGGAAGTGTCAGTTAAGTTTAATTTATTGATATAAAAACCCAACCGAATAGCTAACCGCTTTGTTTTTATCCTTTGAATATATTTTTCCTTCCCTGATTTGCAGAGATTATTTCCTTTCTGATAATGGATGTAAAAGTCTTTCTTCACCTTAACGATTTTTCCTGTCCTTTGAATGCCGTTATCTTCATTTTATTCGATGAAAGCAGTAATTGTCCAAGGAGTTTTGCCAAATTATACAAAGTTTATTCTGAATAAATCTCGTAAAACTGATAATTAAATAAATCATTACACAAAAAAACTAGTAAAACGTCCATGTATTTGTAAAATGATTAGGAAAACACACATAATTGGTTTAAGAAACGATCTTACAAAGCATCTAATACAATTTCACCCACGGTGACAATATTCTTCAGAAATGAACATAATTATGCTCGCTGCGAGCGGCGTATGCCACTAGAGACCGGCGTGACTTGAGGTAATTAATAATATAAATTTGTAACTATCGTCTTCAAAATGAGATAAAAATACGTTGATTTCGATGTTCTTCTAATTAAACGGAAAATAAATCCGTCCGGAGCTTCCTTTAGAATTTTGTTATTTGCTGACCCAGTGGGACCAATTTTCTAAAACGAGACTGATTTGTGGCGTAAAAAGACATTATACAAAGTCAATTCCTACATTGGACCATATGTGTAAAGATTGACCTTCCATAATGAGTAGTTAAGTTCCGTTTATCGTGTTCCGTGATTGGAATTTTTCCCTTGTTTATAAAGATCTTGGGAGAAAATAGTTTAATTGGCATTACTAAGGAATCAGAGACTGGTAACGTGATCAGCTGCGTAGTGAATTACAATAACTACGGGTTTTATCAAATTGTCTAATGAATAATGATAAATTCTCACTGACATCTCTATCTATTTACATGGAAACTTAAGATTTAACCACCTAGAGACACGTAATGTTATTTAATTGCTTCATCATAAAATATAAACTATAAAATAATTCAACATTTGCAATTAAATATGAAAAATTGGGTGATTATTTCATACATTGACATTTTCTAGGTTTCAGCTGGTGTGAAATTAAAAAAAAATAACGACATCCTTTTATTCCTATATTTTACAACCATTTCATTTTCCCTTTTTTCAATTGATAGTTCTATCTTAAAAGAAACCCTCTTTTCTCTACTCAAGGGGTTTGCAAATGAATTAATTCGAAGATAATATTATATAAAAAAATAGATAAATCTGATAAAAAAAATACATCATATAGGATTTCATTTCAAAAACATTTTCCCTAGACATAAAAAGAAACGAAAATTCAAGAACAACTAATAATAAAATGATAGAATTTTTTTATTCTGCCTTGTGGACTAATAATTGCCTGTCAAACAAGAATAATTTTCTTTCTGTTAAAGAATAACTAGAGTGGTGATTGTCATAAAACTTGAAGTTTTCTACACTAATCGTCATTTATTACCATTATAGGGAAATATAATGCGTTGAATGTTAAATTATTATGATATTCAAGAAATTATGACCCAACCATACGTCTAAGTAAAAAGGATAGCGAAAGTATAATCCCAAACGTAGGCGCGGATCGAGGATGAAGGTTTAGAGTATGTAGACCTTAAATTTGGAACTGAGCGTAGCTGACACAATTTTTAGGATACAATTTGCAAGCTTTTGTGAAATTTTGCTTTTATTTCATGGAGCGAGCACCTCTTATTTCTCAATATTTTCAACGTAATTTCAGGGATTGGCATTAGAAAACATCGAAAAAATCGTAAAATGTTTCAGTTGTTTCACATTTTATCTTTATGGTTTTAATATATTATTCTGCTCAGAGCTCTGAAATTTACTTATTTATTTATTTATTTATTTATTTATTTATTTATTTATTTATTTATTTATTTATTTATATAAATTTATTTATTTATTTACTTATTTATTCATTTATTTTTTTTATTATTTTTTTTTAAATTTATTTATTACATTTTGTAGTGCACATTAAATTTGTAATAAACACAGATAAAATGAAGGAAAACGCAATGTATACTTTAATTCGGAAGACATTTTATTTTTATCAGTACTGTATTCACCAAAATTCAATAGAAAAAATTGAAAAAATGAAACGATAAGAACTTTGCAACTTTCATATTTTATATAATTTGCTAACTTGTCATTTTTCTTCAATAAAAAAATCCGAACGAAATAAAAAAATAACCCAAAAGTAAAAAAAAAAATGCTAAATGCAAAAAATAGTATTATTGTTTGTTAGGTTTAAGTTTTTCGACTTCATTTAAGGTAGGTCGAATATGCATACTTAAACAATTTCATTGGGGTTCTTCATTTTAAAATTCTATTTGAGTTATTACTAATTTTCGTTGACATTAAAACACAAAATTTGATAAAGAATCGAATTTGCTTCAGTCAATCTTTTTTTTATTTTAAGTATTTCAAATTTTCAACATTTCCATAATGATAGAATCTAATAGATAAATAAAAACATTTGTATCTTATAAATTGTGTTGATTGTCGCTTCAGTCAATTTTTATAGAAATTTATTGGAAATAAGTCTGATGTTTTTGAATATATTTTTGCTTTATTAGAAAATTAAATTTTCGTCTCCAGTTCTATACTGAATATTGAATTATGCCTGTGTTGATTTGTTAACAGATTTTCTGCGTGTTTCAATGAGTTATTCTTTCGTTTTTGCGGCTTGCCGTAATGTGACCGTACTCTCACTTTGTAATCACTTGGATAATTTAAATAAGACATAATTAGTTTAATTCTAGCCATTTTCATCGTTTATCTCCGAAGACGTGAGCTGAAAGCACCAATAATTTGACGATAAAACTGGTTGATAAACGATTTTGTGTTATTTTCAATATTTCTTCAGAAATTTAGATTAAGGCAATGCTATTTTCTCAGAAGGGCGCAGGATATCAAATCATGTAGCCTTTCAACATATTAGCTGTTTCTTAGTACTGCTTAAAAGCGTCATAATAGCTTCAAATGGCACCAAACCTGACAAATTACATCTTAAATGCTTGTAATGTCACTTAATTTCATGTAAAACGTTGGAAAATTGGCGAGAGCATTCATCAAAATCATCTACAAAATAGCTGGCGTCACAGGAGTGCTAGAAATGCTAGATCTAATTTCCTCATTTCACCAAATTAGATGATTCCTTCTAAATTGATGGTTTAAGTAAATTTTCTATAATATAAAATAATTGGGCCTAATTTAACAATAGAGTTACTTAAGACAGTATTTTCTGGAGTGCAGAAAAACGGGATAAAAAAATCTAGACTTAAAACTACAATATTCCTATACAATGTTATTGCAAAATTTTAAAAAGAGTAAACAATGATAGTAATTGTTTCTTTTTTAAGGCTCCTGAAGACCTAAAGCATAAAACGTTGAAATATTAATGTAGTTTTATATTTTTCTTGTTAAATAGTGGGAAATTTTATCTAAAAAATACAGTGTATAGATATAAGCAATTTTATATGATACAAAAATGTTTCTTACCTTTTGAACGTATCTTCCATTTATGTCCATTTCAGTGGAATATAAGTTTGGAAATTATTTCTGTCAGGTCACGGAATTTGCAATAGTATTTCATTTTAATTGTTTCAATGCAGAAATAATTTCCTATTAATCGTATTTTATCCAGTATTTCTAGCGAAAATGTATAAAACAGCTGTAAATTTTTGAAAATTATAGCGCTTAACAATTAAAAGTGCTGTTTTGTTAATTAAAATATCGTACATTAATGATCGGCCATTTTGGAACATTTGAAAGAAGATTTTGAAATATATGAATATTCATTTAACTTACACCTAAAAGGTGACGTATAATGACCATTGTCCAATCGAGGTACTTCAAGGGTTTGTCAAAACGCATTTTCATTGTAACATCTTTTTTTTTTTATTTTCTGAGTTTTTTATTCTAAGAACGTGTCCTGACTGAGGATAAAGGTAAAACTAGACACCTTAATTGCAATTGGGAAGTCTACCCAGACCAGATAAACAAACAGGACAATGTAAATCCGGATCTTCGGAGGGGTGAAGAATTATCAGGGATAGGGATTTGCCGGACAATAAGTCTATAACAATGGGATTAACAGGAAGCTATTGCTACTGAATAGGAGTACTAATTAATAATAATGTCCGGATTATAACAGTACAGAGATAGGTATATTTCGTGTATATTGTGTAACTTGGTACATTTGTGATCTCAATGTGACAAACAAGAAATGATTTCTTCACGGTTGTAATCGTTTTATCTGATGTTATATATTTTTTTTAAATAACGGAAGCGAATTAACTGTTGAATTACAAAAACCTCTTTCGTATTTCTACAAGTTTACTATTTGTAAGGGGACGACCATTTGCTTCTCTGACGGGGGAAGAAGAAAAAGAAAATGAATATCCTGGTATGGTAAGGTGGAAAATAAATGATTTTGTCCATGTCATGATGGACACGAATATTCTGCAACACAAACTGCAGGAAATAATTGTGTAAAAAATTGAAAATAAATGTTCCAAATAATAAGCAACAGATGAAAATAAATAGTAAATCCGCAAAAAAATACCCCCTTTTCCGAAAATCAAATGGTCGCCGTAATATGAACGGAATTAATGGCTATATACACCAAGGCAATTAAAAACTTTATTGTTTCAGGATTAATATTTAGTTTCTCAATGCATCCGTTTGTAGCGTACAACAATCTTGCACTCTGTATTCAATCAAGATAATAAAGGATCAAAAGGCAGATTATTTCAGCAATCAAAAAATGTAATTGTGAAGTAAAAAATATCACTATTGGCCGTTTTACGACCGACAATATGGCATGGACCAAATAAATAATGCTTATCTGTAGCAATAGTTTTTTTTCCGCATTGCAAAAAAAATGTCTTCTTATATACTGTTTATATATATATATATATACATATATATATATAAGATGTTGCTGAATGAAATCTTCTATAAAAAAACATCTAACATTATTAGACTGTAGAACAGGTAGTCCGAGATTGCTCTGAAAATCTTAAAAAAAGGCTGTCAGACCTCAGAATAATCTTAAAAGGCTGTCAGACCTCGGAACAATCTTAAAAAGGCTGTCAGACCTCAGAACAATCTTTAAAAGTCTGTCAGACCTCCGAACAATCTTAAAAAGTCTATCAGACCTCAGAACAATTTTAAAAAGTCTGTCCGACCTTAGAACAATCTTAAAACGGATGTCAGAAACCAGAACAATCTTAAAATGGCTGTCAGACTCCAGAACAATCTTAAAATGGCTGTCAGACCCCAGAACAATCCCGGACTAATGAAATCATGATTTAATATCAGCAGGTTCAGTACTTACTCGGCGACTTATTTTCTAGGGCTTGACTAGTTCAGTAATTAGTCCAGCCCTGGCCTCAGTGACTTATTTTCTAGGGCTGGACTAGTTCAGTACTTAGATCTTGTTTTCCGTCAGAGATGGTTTTTTGTCTCATTGTAATATTTGTGTCCTTTGGAGAATTGGTGTTGATGGCAGAGGTTTGATAGTCTCTGTTTGACTCATTAACAACTTTTTAGTTTCGAAGGGATTTAGAGCTCGACGGCTTGTATTGTTGAATACCGTTTGATGATTTCTACATGTCTTTTGTTTTACTTTGAGTCGTTAGATTGCTGTCTTATTGGTATATTCTACATTTCCCCTTTTAATCAAATATCAATCAAGAACTGTACTTTATCTAAAAATGATGCAAGCCAATAAAAGTCTAATGACGGTCATTGTGGCTTTTTTAGGATGAAAGATTGTTATATTCTCATAACATATGTAGTAAACCCGCTGCATTTATTTGCACCTGTCCTAAGTCAGGAACCTGATGTTCAGTGGTTGTCGTTTGTTGATGTGGTTCATAAGTGTTTCTCGTTTCTCGTTTTTTATATAGATTAGACCGTTGGTATGTGAAAAGTATAATGAACTTCGAAAGAAATTTATCAAACCATATTATTGGAGAAAACCTTCGAATTTTAAACTCGTACAACTGCTATCTGTTCATAATGTAAAGGAACTTAACAATTTAGGGAAATATTTATTCCTGGCCGAGAAGGCACGTAATTAAATTCATTTATAAATGCTTAATATGTGTTATATTTTATCATACTCTGCTGTACTGTTATATGGGTATACTTACTTATATGATTATTTGACTGATTGTTTAAATGTATTATACATATATATATTTCACTGATGTAATTGAATATTTGTAATATTTATATTCTATAAGTTGTATTGCTTACGAATAAAAGATTATTATTATTCCTGTTTGAATGGTTTTACACTAGTCATTTTTAGGGCCCTTTATAGCTTGCTGTTCGGTGTGAGCCAAGGATCCGTGTTGAAGGCGGTACTTTGACCTATAATGGTTTACTTTTACAAATTGTGACTTGGATGGAGAGTTGTCTCATTGGCACTCATACCACATCTTCTTATATCTATACATGATTGTTGGTTAATAACATAAAAGATAAACTCTAAAAAATCAAAATTAGTGAGCTGTGTAATGTGGACCTTGTGACTTTCGTCTGATGAGTATGTTTATAACATTAAATGTCTCTCACTTTATCTAAATGTGGACACAGATGCTTATGAAATTTTGATTAGCCACAAAAAAAAAATTAATGGTACTTTATTCATTTTAATGAATACCCCATTGCTTACATCAAAACTGATATATGTCCGTATCCAAAATAATATAAGTCTACTTTATTTTAGTGAATACATTTATTAAATACAACAACAAATTACAAACAGCTTCAAGACGAATCGTTATTGTTTGCTAGAACAGCAGTGGCGTAAAAGTCAACCTCTTCGTATGTTGTTCTGGTGATGTTCTTCTGAACTGTTTCTTCTTCCATCTTTTTGTCATCGTCAAAAGTTACTTCGATGTAAACTAACTGATCTGTGTTCATCTGGAATCAAAAACATACCGACCGTCTTAAACCGGTTAATATCTTGGAAATAAATTCGACATGTTCAATTTCAGTGCTAATAAGCATTTATTTTTTTTTAAATAGCATAATTTGTTTCTTTGGTCAAAGGTAAAATGAATTATAATTTCAGTTTGAGATTATTATTTACTCCTCAAGTCCCGTGGTAAATATTTCATATATATTTAGGAGTAATTTGTTTTTTAGAGATTGAACAGCATACAAACACTAGGTTTTATCAGGGACTATTATACTAACTAGTTAATATATTATGTCCCAGGTTTTATCCTAACGTGTTTTGCTAACTTTTAACAAATCTAGCAAATATACTAATCACTCTTAAAGTTATGTCAAAACCTATATCCATATAGTACGTTGTCGCCTGTGTCTGATTATATGTCTCATTGTGCAAGACTTTGTAGTACCTTCTGAAATTATTAACTGTATCTGGTGTGTTTGTCGGTGTATTTTCTGAGATCACACGCTCCAAAACTCCGTTTGAAACAATACACTGCAACCTACTTGTTCATTGTTTTGTTGATTTTCTGTTTCTGGATCAGTTACTCTAGTTAGTTGATGTTCCGTTTCTGGATCAGTTACTCTAGTTAGTTGATGTTCCGTTTCTGGATCAGTTACTCTAGTTAGTTGATGTTCCGTTTCTGGATCAGTTACTCTAGTTAGTTGATGTTCCGTTCCTGGATTAGTTACACTAGTTTGTTCAGTTTTCTTTCTTACTTCACTGTAAACATTATCAACTGTAGGTTTTTCCATCCGTGCTGCTGAAATAAAAATCTGTATTTCCCAACTTACTCTTAGAGACATGTACTGATATTCGTACAATTTATGTTACTCATATCTGCGACTCTTTTCACAAAAAATCTTACGATTAAAATTGATCGTAAGTTATACTGAAATGTGTATGACTTACGAGTATTTTTACTCTTAAGATTTTTTGTGAAAAGAGCCGCTGGGTTGTATCGTCGCGATATAGATGTATTTAGCGCTAATGCGTCGAAAAGCAATCACCGATCAATCCATCAATCAATCGATCAGATCTGGTTGTTTACATTCCTGAACTTGATGCTAAATAGATTTGTGAGTCTTATTATAAATTAAAGCGGTTTATCCAGATAGTTATCTTAACAAACTAGTGCATGTTTCTTACAAAATTTAGGTCGTTAGTATTATCGGGGCCTTTTATAGCTGACTATTCGGTATGGGTTTTGCTTATTGTTGAAGGTCGTACTGATACCTATAGTATAGCTTATTTAATTCTTTATACATCTATTTGTTTCTTTGATGTTTTTGTTATGTTTTTTAAATACAGCTTCTTAAAAATAATTGATATAAAAACCAGGAGATGTAGACATGAGACAACTATGAAAATAAAAGAGTTCCAATGTCCCCGACGTTGCACATATTTTATCTATCCAAAGTACAAGGGCAATAACTTAAAAATACACTTTTTTTTCTTTAAAAACTTTTTTATAAATATCTAAGAGAAATGAAGGCTTCAGAGCAAATACAATGCAATTTCCGATATAATTAATATTTCCATGGGGCGCAACTCGTTACAAATATTTGATCAGCACTTATTTCCAAAAGTGTCAAAGATATTGCTGATATAAACCTCTGACAAGAATTGTACACATCAGAGCGCTAACAATGCAATTTTCCATATAATTGATGTTTCCAAGGGGCATAACTCTTTTTTTTTAATAATAGATCGGCACTGATTTTCGAACTTGTCCGAAACATTACTGATATAAATCTATGATAAATGTTTCATAAAAATCTGGCACGAATTGTACAAATGAGATCGCTAACAGTGCAATTTTCCATATAATTAATGTTTCCAAGGGGCATAACTCTTTTACAAATACTTGATCAGCACTTATTTTTAAACTCGTCCAAGACATTGGAGATATAAACATATGATATAAGTTTCATAAAAATCTGGCAAGAATTATACATGAGAGTGAAAACAAGACCGGACAGACGGACGCCTGGTGTTTCTATGTCCCCCGCAACACGTTGCGCGAGGGACAAAAAAAAAAGACCAGATGTCAAGGGTATGAATAACAATCTGCTATCGGCTTCACTTGTTCAACTTATGACAATATCAACCATTAATACTTGATTTTCATTTATTGACTTTGTTGTCATATTAAATGTTGAATGTGTATATTTTTTTTCATCTCCTTGTATTGGCAGTTTAAATTCCCTTTAACCTATTTTAATGAATCTTATTAAGGGGTTTTTAGTTTAATATGCCATGCTTGTGTAAAACAATAGAGGCTATAAAGAGCCTGTTTCGCTCACCTAGGCCTATGCGCATCTTCAACAATGAACACTCTCCAACATTGAAGACTAGATTATAATTCACAACTTACACCTCTTTTATGTTGTTCTGATATCGCTGATCATTTTTTTCTGTTTACAGTTTCTCTCATTCTACTACTAGTATATGTTTGCCCAAATCACAAAAAGGGTAAAACATCCTCATTTAAGGACAAAAACTCCTATTAAAAGACAGCTGACAATTACATCTATGATGACCTATTTGCAGATTTTGTCTTGCTGGTAATTTTTTGCTGTTTAAAGTGTCTATTTTTCTTACACAATTTTCAAGATAATAGACAAAAACGCAAAAAAATGATAAAAATCGTCTTAAGAGCAATGACTCTAATAAGGAGTCGACTGACAATTTCCATCGTGTTAACTTATATGTAGGTCTTGTCTTGCTGGCCTTTTTTTCTATTTAAAGTGCCTATCTATCTATCATAGTTTTCAAGACAATAGACAAAAACGCAAAAATGGTAAAAATTATCATTAAAGAGCAATATCTCCAATAAGAAGTCGACTTACGATTTCAGCTATGTGGACATATTTCTAGATCTTGTCTTGCTTATATTTTTTGCTATTTAAAGTTTCTATCTATCTTTTAACAGTTTTCAAGATTTTCAACTATAAAACCCAATGATGATTGTGGACAAATTTTGTTTCAAAGAGAAGATGTTTGCAAAAGTTAAAGGACGACGATGAACGCCACGTGTTGACAAAAGTTCACTTGGCCCTTTGGACCAGATGAGCTAAAACAAGAAAAATCCATGTCGAAATTTAATCCTAACCCTTGCCCCTTCCCCTAGAAAAATGAAATGCTTGGTTCTTAAGTAATAAGTACTTAAAGAGGTACGAGTGTAACATAAGAATCTTACAGGTTGTAAAACAAATACTATCTAATTGCATGTATATATTCACTGCAGATTTAAAAAAAGAGTGCAAATGTGTTACATGTTAAAAACCTACCAGAAACGTAACTCTTTTCTCGCGCTGATGTGATGCCTGCTACTGAGTCGTCTTTCATGTTTACATACACCGTACCACTGTCGCCACTCATACCTTCAACGAAATGGAATTCATTGATAAACATCATCGATTGCAAGTCATACCACCCTTTGAGTGGGTGTACAGCTTTTATTCAACGCAGTATGTACAATATTTCCCCTTTTATTGCATCATATTATTTATTTCTCTCGCAAATGGGTTTGGGAGGCGGGAGTATAGGACTATGCTCCGTTTGTCCGACTGTCCGTCACACTTTCTTTTACTACGGTACTTTTTTTAGATTTCAATACACGTAATTTATGTATAACTGGTATATTGGTAAGTCGGGGATTTCATTACTAAAAAATACTTAAAACCTTTACTAAATTCTTTCACAGATACAAAGATTTGGTTTGAAGTCTGGCAAATGGGATACCTAATTGTTACGGTGTTTTTTTTATACAGCCCGTAATATTGTAATAATATCTTTGTAAATTGTCAATTAACGGAACTAATTTTGATTTTGTTTTTAACAGACATAAAAGCATAACTAGATAGGAACACTTATGGTCCTACATCCTGCCGATATTGATATTTTGATAATGCGCAAAATTATTATGCTTTTCGCAGACTGTTTATGACGACTTTATAATAAAGCCGTTGGATGTGTACTGGTTGATATTTTGTTTAGGAAGAAAGGTTTATTAGTAAATTGAAATTGACTTTGAACTTCCCGATATCTTTTAGAAACTGCGATTACTCTATGATCAGTAGTTTGTGTTGTCTTTTATAATTCATTTTTGTGCTTCATGCTGATGAGCCTTGCACTTAACAACTGATTTTTACAGTTTGTTCTTATGTTTTGCAGTTACACAACTGTCGCCATGTTAGGGAAGGATTAAGATCTAAAAAAATATGTATAACCCCGACACATTCTTTATTTTCCTGTCCAAAATCACGAGCCTGTAATTCAGTTGTTGCCGTTGGTTGATGTCCGCCGTATTTGTTTCTCGTTTTTGTTTCACCTTAAATCAAGCAGGTTTTTTCTCTTTTGAATATGGGTGTGTTATGCCGAGGAGTTTTATAGCTTGCTATACGGTGTGGGTTTGCTCATCCTTGAAGGCCGTTTTGGTGATCTATAGTTGTATACATTCACGTCTTTTGGTCACTGATTAATAGTTGTCTTGTTGGCAATCATACCACATCTCGGTATGATGTCAATAATTTTTGGAATACAGTCTTGAATCTGTTCTTGTTTGCCGCTTGATGTTTATACTTTTTGTTAGTAGCTTTTTTGTTTACAATATTATCATATTCTAATACAGTGAATAAGAAAATTTAGTATATGGAGCTTCCGCATTCAAAAAATATTTAAAAATGGAGACTGTATAGATTTGATGCCTCTTAATGCTCTTAGCGAATTTTTTATTTTTCTCTTCAGAAAAAACCTCAACTATTCTTCTTAAGAAAAATACCCTCCTTATTTGTTGCAAATGTATAATATCAATGCAATAAATTTTTTCAAAGATACCGGGCATCTAATATTGGTACGCTAGACGCGCGTTTCGTCTACATACGACTCACCAGTGGCGCTCGAATCAAAACAGTTACAAGGCCAAATAAATACGAAGTTGAAGACTAAAACCAGCGTAAGTGAGGAAGATTCCTTTTACAGCATTACAATTATATAATATAATCTCAGGCGGTTTATCCATCTGCAATGTTTTAATCCTGATTATATTCTATACTCACTTTTCTTAAAATAGTTTCTTCCTAAAACGACAATGAATATCAAGACTATAACCACTAGAACTCCTCCGATGACACTCCATATAACTACTGTCATAGTATCGTCTGACATGGCTGACTCATTCTCTGTAACTGGATAGTCTACAACATAAATATAACTATACAGTCATAGTATCGTCTGACATGGCTGACTGTGGTGGCTCAACCTCTGTAAATGTATAGTCTATAACATAAATACAATTACAGTCATAATATCGTCTGACAATGCTGACTGTGGTGGCCCATTCTCTGTGACTGGATAGTCTACAACATAAATATAACTAATGATATTGTAATGGATAATTCTACCTCCTAACATGCAAAATGTACAGCTAAGAGGCAACAACTAACTTTAATATTGTAAAGTTTAAAGATTACGTGAATCTAACAAAACAATTCAAACTAAAAAGATTGTGTAAATTTATTAATAATATAGTTTCTCTTTCATGATACATTTGCAACTTTATGTGTATATCTTTTTATAAAATGACGACGACGAGGGGGGGGGGGGGGGTTAACGACCTTGACTACCCATGAGAGTCTTCCACGGTCGGCCCTGGCTTGCGCCTTTTTGGGCATTTAAATAATTTATTTTTACCTTATGGTAATTGATATAATTTTGAGTGACAAAAAGAAAAAACATAACATGAATAAAATGTGAAATGAACAATAATTTGATAAATAAAATAAATAAAAAAATAAATTGATGAAACACACACACACACAAAATCAAAAAAATAATATAAAAAATAAAAATAGGATCCACCTAAAGCCGGAACAGGACAAGCAAATGACAGTGAGTGGCAGCAACGTTGTCATGGTACACCAGCAGCCAAGAAAAGAGCGGAGAAATTTGATATGCCAAATTGTGTATGTGAATTTAGTTGCTAAAATATTTTCGTGAAACCCAAATAGGCCTATATATGTGTATGTGAATTTAAGAAAAATGATTAGTATAAGTTTTTATATGTACACAAAAAAAGAATAAGTAAAAGAAAAGAAAGGAAAAGAAAACCAAAGGGTGTATGTATAGTTTTGACTGCTTTGTGCTAGCCTACTGTTATGCTGTCCGCAGGAAGACAAACGCCCCACTCTATAAAATGGAAAACAAAAACTCTTTATAAACTTGATGCGTCTGAAGCACTATTCACAATGAACGCTTAAACCCCAAAATTTTGAAAGCCAACAATGTATAAATCCTTGAATACTTGGGGAGCTATATGACCAAAAAGAACCAAAAAAATAAAGATAAACAAATCCACCTAAGGTGAACTTTGACTGAAGGAGTTGATAATTACTAAATATACCAACGGTGAATCGCTTACTCCTGAGCTGTTGATAAAACTAGTTGTCTACCTATCGAACCAGTGCTAGATTATGAAAATATTATTTTACAAATTTGGGGCGTCCGAATTACATTTCTGAATTAACTTCATCAGGAACGACCATAATTGTGTATGTCTATTTACCGTATTTCAACGGTTCGCATATTTTTTTTCAATTTGTATAAATTTGTATACACATTTTACACTTATACAGACTACAAGGAAATAATTACCACCCTCTCATGTTGTTTCACTCACTGGGATAACATTTGGAGAAACTTAATAAAATCTCAATATTAATAGAGCTGATATAACGAACTTATCTTTTTCTATTTGATGAAATATGTATAAATTAAAAAAATGTTCTATACATTCAGTGATAGTGAAGGCTTTAGCAAGTGCAAAAAATATATGTTCTTTTAAAAAAAAAATATTGGAGGACTTCCAAAAAAAATATATGAAATTGTATCATATATAGGTTTACTTATGCGATACTATACTGCTTTTATAGATATAAGAAGATGTGGTATGAGTGCCAATGAGACAACTCTCCATCCAAATCAAAATTTATAAAAGTAAACCATTATAGGTCAAAGTACGGTCTTCAACATGGAGCCTTGGCTCACACCGAACAGCAAGCTATAAAGGGCCCCAAAAATGACTAGTGTAAAACCATTCAAACAGGAAAACCAACGGTCTAATCTATACAAGAGTGCACACGCTGAAATGTCTCGCCTTCTTTACTAACCATTGATTTTATGTTGATAGTCCTAAATACAAAGCTTTACTACAAGTAACACATAAACTTAACATGATCCAAGAAAATGAGGTCAAGGTCAGATAAACCAAACGAGAAATACATGTACACCTTACAATCATTCAATAAACCAAACATAGTTGACCTATTGCTTATTGTTTCTAAGAAACAGTCTTAAACTAGAAAACTTAACATTGACCAATGAACCATGAAAATGAGGTCAAGGTCAGATGAACCATGCCAGACAGACATGTATACCTTACAATCAATTTAGGCATTGAATATTGTTGACCTATTGCTTATAGTATCTAAGCAACAAACTTAACCATGAAAACTTAACATTGACCAATGAACCATGAAAATATGGTCAAGGTCAGATGATACCTGCCATACAGACATATACACCTTACAATCCTTCCATACATCAAATATAGTTGATCTATTGCTTATAGTTCAAGAAAAACAGACCAAAACACAAAAACTTAACACTGAGAAATGAACCGTAAAAATGAGGTCAAGGTCAAATAAAACCTGTGAGACTGACATGTACATCATAAAATATGTCCATACACCATCAATAATTGACCTATTGCATATAGTATTAGAAAAAAAGACCAAAACTCAAAAACTTTACTTTGACCACTGAACCATGAAAATGAGGTCAAGGTCAGATGACACCTACCAGTTGGACATGTACACCTTACAATCATTCCATATACCAAATATAGTAGACCTACTGCTTATAGTATCTGATATATGGACTTGACCACGAAAACTTAACCTTGTTCACTGATCCATGAAATGAGGTCGAGGTCAAATGAAAATTGTCTGACGGGCATGAGGACCTTGCAAGGTACGCACATACTAAATATAGTTATCCTATTACTCATAATAAGAAAGAAATTAACATTACAAAAAATGTTGACTTTTTTTTCAAGTAGTCACTGAACCATAAAAATGAGGTCAAGGACAATGGACATATGACAGACGGAAACTTCGTAACATAAGGCATCTATCTATATACAAAGCATAAGCATCCAGGTCTTCTAGCTTCTAAAATATAAAACTTTTAAGAAGTTAGCTAACGCCGCCGCCGCTGCCGCCGCCGGATCACTATCCCTATGTCGAGCTTTCTCGACAATAAAAAACGAGAAACGAGAAACACTTATGAACCACATCAACAAACGACAACTTCTGAACATCAGATTCCTGACTTAGGACAGGTTTATCAGTTTTCGATTTTAACAAGCAATGTTTTCAAAAATCTAAGAAATTACAATTTTAGTTCACACACGAAACCGGGTTAGAAAAATCTTTATGTCTAGTGGCTAAACGCCGAATACAATATAATTGAAGTAAGCGTCAACCACACAGCAATCCAACGACACAAGTCAACGAAACTAGACGTTTGGTCCCTAGACAGACGGTTTTCGATAAATGAAAAAAAGGTCAACGATAAATTCAACAGATATCTAAAAAGGAAGATATAATATGCGAGATTCCAGAAATTTTTCTTCTTTTAAAATAGAAAATCGGTCTTTCTTTCTTAAATAATATGCATCAAAATAAATATATATAATAGTAGGTCAGATTCTTTAACCTTTAACATAGAACTGACCTAGGTTATTAAAGTACTTATAAATTATTTTCACAAACAGGAAATTGTACTATAGTATATCATTGAATACTTTCCGGTAATTGTCTTATATCTACACGTTTCCCCCCATAACTATGGGATACTGGATATACATCAATAACCCCAAAACATAAGGAAATCAAAGACAAAAATCCCGATGCTGCCCTGATATATCATCACTCACTTTTGTTTATTGTCTTTTACCTCATTAACATTCATTCAACACATCTCTTTACTGATCACATTCATCAAGTATATCGAAACCTTTTGAAAGTCTTTAGTTAAAACAATTACTGACACCATGAAATTTCCTTATACATGTATTACAGAATCGCACAGTTTGTGTAATATTTCATTGGGAAGCATACAAACATCAGTCCATATCACTGCTGAGGTGGGGGGGGGTGTTAAAAGACCTAGGTACCATCCGAATCCCAACTTTTTTTTAGAACGCAACATACCAGTAATGACCAATATAACTCCGTCAAAGACTGTGTTGGTATCCTGTAATGTATAGACACCCGCATCATCACTAGTTACATTCCGGATAGTGAACTTGATGGCTGTTATGGTTTGTGACATGTACTTGTCTATTTTGTATCTAGTGTCGCCTGTGTTTGATAATACAGAACCAAAATCGATCCTAAAAATAATTAAAGTCAAATTTCTCATTATGGCAGCATTCGTTGTTGATACTGACTGAGATAGTTCCCATTTTACTACAGCATTTGTCCCTCTTTGGAATCTTACTGTTCTATCTGCAAAAAAAAGACCCAATGCAATAGTTTGTACTAAGGCAATTATTAAAAAATGCATTTCAAAAAGTTAACTGAATATCCTCAAAATTAAATGAATAAAGTAAATTATTTAAATATATAAAATTAAATGAATAAAGTAAAATGTGTTTAATATCAACAATGAATTGACATTTATTATAATAATTTTCGAGTAATTAAAGTAGTTTTATTCATTTTTCATTATTAAACGCTATTACTAACATTGAAAGCAATATGCAAGTAGACGTGATTTTAAAAGCCTTTTTCTCTACACGTAAACTATTTAAAGTATAAACCCCCTAATGAACAAATAAAACATTGAAATCTAAAACTCACAACAGTGGACAGCAGTGAAACAGAGTATCAATACAAAATATCCTCCCATGATAATGAAAATTAAAATGGGATGATATTTGAGAGCATAGTACGAATTCGGAAATGATTCAACGGAAACGATCGTTTCATTAATAACTTTGTACTCATACAATTACTACCGCTTATATAAATTGGTATATATATATACAAATATACTTGTATTTCCTGTTGTATACGGAACACATGAATCTGCAAAAAAAAAGATATTTGTTTTAGTATTGTTTTAATATGCCTTTTGTGATAAAAAATTTACTAGATATATTAACTTTATGTGTGACACCTTTACGATATTTTTCCTCTGGATAGCCCAGATACCGACTGTTCATGACTTTCACTATACATACTTTTCCCTCGTCTATTGAAGTTGTCCGTCTTGCTAGTTTCTATTGGCCATGGTGTTGTCTCTCCTGAAGTTTTTTAATTGCCTCTTGGTATGTTCTTATAATTAGCCAAATTCTATAATGTCATATTCTAAACATTTTGTATTAAAAGACATCATTATCCAAGTTAATTAATGTGTATCTGAAAGACAATACATATCTTTACTACCAATATAATGTTACGTTCTTTTTGTTCATTAGATATACTCGATTCATACTTAGTTTGTCAATATTATTCAAAACTGCAGTTTGAACCATTAATTTTGTTAGATTTTTTTGGTATCATGTTCATATATACGCCATATTATTGTTACACATGTTCAGATATGCCCCATAGTATTGTTACACATGTTCAGATATACGCCATATTATTGTTACACATGTTCAGATATACGCCATATTATTGTTACATATGTTCAGATATACGCCCTATTATTGTTACACATGTTCAGATATATGCCATAGTATTGTTACACATGTTTAGATATACGCCCTATTATTGTTACACATGTTCAGATATACGCCCTATTATTGTTACACATGTTCAGATATACGCCTTATTATTGTTACACATGTTTAGATATACGCCCTATTATTGTTACACATATTTCAGATATACGCCCTAGTATTGTTACATATGTTCAGATATACGCCCTAGTATTGTTACTCATGTTCAGACATATGCCCTATAATGGTTTCACATGTTCAGATATACGCCCTAGTATTGTTACACATGATCAGATATACGCCCTAGTATTGTTACACATGTTCAGATATACGCCCTAGTATTGTTACACATGGTCAGATCAGTGGCGGATCCAGAAATTTTCATAAAGGGGCCGGGACCACTGACTGCCAAAGAGGGGGCCCGCTCCAGTCATGCTTCAGTGATTCCCTACATAATCAACCAGATTTTTCTTACATCCCCCCATCCCCCCTAAATCCGCCTCTGCAGATATACGCCCTAGTATTGTTACACATGTTCAGATATACGCCTTAGTATTGTTACACATGTTCAGATATACGCCATATTATTGTTACACATGTTCAGAGGCCATATTATTGTTACAACCTAAAATTATGTACAGGAAGTTTTTAAGAGTAAATTTTAATAGAGATTAACTTTCAGAAAATGACACGTTTCAAATAAATTCAGGGAAACTGGCCATGCCTATTTATTTTTAAAAAGTGTTATATATACACTAGGCAAGTTAACCTTAGATGGATATGGCTTTTTATGCCCCTTTTAGTCATATCGTTCTTCAAGTATCCTTTCATCTTTGGCATTTTTTTTCGTTTTTTTTTTTAGGTTTCAGGCTAATCAAGGGAAATCCAGAATTTAATAAATCCAGAAAAGCGATTCGGAAACACAAAATATTAGTGCTATTTTCATTCACAATCATTATACTCACCATATATATATTTGACCTCAAACTTTGTATCTGAAAACGGACATAATCAGGAAAACTAAACGGTTGACTTATATCTAATGAAATAGAGTCAATGTAAAATAAACCCTTTCAGGCGCACATGCACACCTTTTATTCGTTGTTTACACAATATAAATTTACTCTTTTACTCGCTGTATCTGAGAATGGACCGAATTACGAAATTTAACGTTGACTGAATTCACAAGAACATGGGGTCAGCTGAACCCTGGACGACTGATATATACACCTTACAGTCATTCTGTAGACCAAATATAGTTGATCTCTTACTGGTTTTATATGATAACCTTAATAATAAATTCAAATTCAAATATTTTATTGGATAAAGCACATACGATAAATATGACATTGCGTATCCAAGTGTACAACATACATGACAATTATGTAAATAAAACGTAATGCATAACAAGAGAAAATTAAGGACAATGAATGATATGCTATATATATATAACTATAAGTCTATTTATTTTGTAACTTATGGAAGACTAACTGACACCAAGCGATATTGTGGACTTCAAAAGCTTGTCTCATATATTTAAAATAATTACATGTTTGTTTGGCATTAGCCAAATTATTTGGATTAAGTAAATAAATGACTGATTTAATATCATCATTTTTAATCAAATTTTGGAAAATGTTAAACTTTTCTCGAAGGTTTTTATATAGGGGACAATATGAAAGGAAGTGCACTTCATCTTTTACCCACAGGCACTTGTCTCTGCAATTTCCCCCCCTATATACCTTAATATAACTAACACTTATAAAGTAAAAAAATTTCAGAGACAAGTGCCTGTGCTTCTTCTTTATCTCCGCAAAATTTGCAGAATCTTTCCGTTGCTAAAAGTTTTTGGTTTACTGTATCTCCCAGTTTCAATGGCAAGTGAATGTGCACTATTCTAATTTTGGTGAGAAGTGATCTCTCATATTTTGGTAAAGCTTTTTTAAAGTGAAATGATGAGCAAATTTTACTATAAAATCTGAGTTTACCTGTGTTATTAGATTTAATATGCTCAAGTTGATTTAATATCTTGCATTTATAAAAGTTTTTTAAATGAATCCTCAAATGCAGTATATGATAATTGAAGTGAATCCAAATTAAGTATCTTTTTTTAGTTTATATAATGATTGCAGCCAGCAAGAGCTCTTCTGCGAACACAAATTTTTATCTTCTATGAATGCAGATCTTAATAGATCAAAATTTTTTTTTGTCGTTACCAACTTCAAGGTAAGTTAATCTAGCATAATATTTAAACATTAATTCATAGGATATAAAATATAATGGATAAAGCTCCAGTTCTGTATGTAAAGCTAGGTTGGAAGCCTTACCATGGACACCACGAATATTTTTCATAATCATATTCCGAACCTTTTCAAATGGAAGTTTATCTGCAGTGTCTAGGTTTATATTAGAATCTGAATTCCAAATTTCAGATCCATAAGTCATTATAGGTGAAATTAATGAGTTGAAAAGTCTCACCCATTTTTCCACTGCAGTTAGAATATGGTAATTTTGTTTTTAAGGCAAAATATGCCTTACATGCTTTATCAGCAAGATTTTCAGCTGCTATATTTAGTTTACCTTTATTGATGAAGACAATACCTAGGTACTTGTATTCTGTAACAGATTCTAATGGTTGCAGACCAAAATAAAAACAACTTCTGTCTATAAGAGAGTTATTTTTGCTATTAGATAAAATCATAATCTTAGTTTTCTTGATGTTCAAGCTAAGACCCCAATCACTACAGAAGGACTGTAAGGCATCCACACAGTACTACAAGCCAGTAGGTGTCTCTGAGATTAAGATCAAATCATCTGCATAAAGAAGATAATTAAAATTTATTTGATTCAAATAAACTGGATCAGTTAAAATGAGGTTAAAATAGGAATCTATGTCATCAACAAACATATTAAATAGGGTAGGGCTAAGGCTATCCCCTTGTTTGACCCCCAAATTAGCCTCACTTATGGAACCATCTGTTTTACAACAACATAATGTATTATCATACCTGCCTGAGGATTGTTATTTTTAAGACTGTTTATTAATTTCCAAAAAGGACTTTGAATCTTTACAGTCTAGACTATTAATTTGACTAATAAAAGTCCTATAAAACTCTGCTTTTCACCTTTTTTTTGCATATTATAATTTTTTACACAACTGGAATAAGTTTGACGAAGGTATACATTATTGTTGTCTTTTTGCAATTTTTTAATAAGAGACCTTTTACTTCTTTCCTCAGTAAAAGACAATCGTTAGACATCCACGTTTTTTTTAGTTTTAGCTCTTTTTCTTTTATTTGAAGGACGAGAACTTGGCTGATATCCTATGAAAATGGAGTAAAAGTCAGATGAAGCCTGCAGGACATAGGTGTATACCTTACAATCATTCTGTATACCAAATAAAGTTGACCTCTAACTTGTAATATCTGTGAAATCGACTTAATCACAAATGCTTGATGTTCACCAATGAACCATAAAATTGGACTCAAGGTCAGGTGAACCAATGTCAAGAATGACATCTACACCTTACAATCACACTATACACCTTCATACAGTTCACCTATTTCTTGTATCTGAGAAACAGACCTAATCACAAAACCTTCACCTAGATCATTGAACAATGTAAAGAGGTCAAGGTAAAATGAACACTAACAGACAGACATGTACACATGACAATCAGTCTACTATTGTTGACCTATTACAATAATATTAAAGAAATGTTGATTACTGAACCATAAAATGATTTGAAGGTTTGGTAAACCCTGTCAGACAGACATGTAGACCTTGAAATGATTTAATAAACCAAATTTAGTCATCCTATTACTTATAATAACTGGAAAAAATAATATAATGATAAAATAATACATTTTTGTATTTTTTTTAAGCAATCACTGAAACATGAAAATGAGGTCAAGGGCTAAGGAAATTTGCCATATGGAAACTTGTGACCATAAAGTATCTGTATACAAGATACTGATAATCCCACGTTTTTAACTTCTGAAATATAAAAGTATATGCCTTGTCTGCCACAGGATAAACATCCCTATATCTTGCATTCTGTAACATTCATTTTGGGCAAGATAAAAATCAAGTTTTGATGGAAACTGTTTTTTATTGACCATTACTTGATTACTATTTTTAAAGTTTTTTTAGTTCTTTAAAATCCCCATGAGAGTGAATAAATTTATTACACGTTTAAAAAAAATCTTTTCTTGAACTCAGAGTCAGTGTAAAAGCTCCATGAAAGGACATACCAATGACTTTGTAACATTATTTTGTAGTACAGTGACCTTTGTGTAATTGAATATAACAAAAGAACAAGCTGACCATTGTTCTTGGCAATAACTGCTGTGAAGAATAAAGAAAGATGTGTTATGTTTTAAGGATATCATCTTTTTTTGGTGATTTTTTTTTTAAATGAATCTTCCTTTATATGCTTCATATACACCAAATTTATAGTTTTATTTTCATTTTCTAGCACTTTTCTAAGGTTGCAGGTGAACTGCTAATAAAATTAAGAATGGAAATGGGGAATGTGTCAAAGAGACAACAACCCAACCAAAGAGCAGAAAACAGCCTAGTCTACAAAGGTATCTTCAATTCAGAAGTCCATGCTTTAGTAGTTAATAATTTATAACATTTTCTTAAATTCTTCATTGATAGTTTATGGAACTATTAAGAAACTTAGGTTTTAACTACCTCAGGTAAAGTTAACCTTAGATGAATTTGGCTATTCTTTTTATATCTCTTTTTTGACAAACATTCCTCAAATATTTGTACATACTTGGCTTTCAAATTTTGTCAATTGGGTTTGATCTTTTTTGATGAAGGTGTATCCAGATAAGTGCTTCAGATGCAAAACATTTATGAAGTGTTATTTTCATGTACAAGAATAGCTTATAAATATATCTATCTCTAAATATATACGAATATATGCAAATAAAAGTTAGACCATCAAGATTCAGTTCTCACTTATTAAATCAACATAATCAAAGGGTCAAATTTATAAGTGTTTTATCATTAATTCACCAAAAAACAATACTATAGAAGTGGCACTATATCAAGGCAGACTAAGAATACATCTGTTTTTTATTCATCTCCATAGTGACATAGTTTATAATATTTGTACTGGAGGAATAGTTACTGTGGATTCCCTATCATTCGTGGGATACCAATTTTCGTGGCTTTTGTAGGTAGAGGGAAATCATAAATTTATATATTTAACAAAGAACACATTTTCTATAGTCTTGATTGCACTTTGACAAAACAATGAAATCAAATATCCCAAAAATACCAATTTTCTTCAATCCACGAAAAATTGGTATAGATGAAAATAAATGAAAAACATTATCCTAATTACTCCATCTCACTACCAGATTCATACAGACTTTGATTTCTCCTCTTTACTCTTAATTTTTTTGACTGTGGACTCTCTTCACTCTCAGACCCATCACTTCTCTTTCTCCCTTCCTTATCTTCACCTAATACAAGTCCACTGGTAGCTATTACAACCTCAGAATCACTTCTCTCTCCACTACTTGCAGGACTAGATTGTGACAATGGTATTGTATCTTGAGAAGTTAATGACGGTGTATCTTCAACTGAAATGTCTGGAACTGTTTGAAACTTTTTCTGCTCAGCAATCAGACTTGCAAGTTCTTCATCATCACTTCCGGGTAAAGCTAATTCAACATGTCCTCTATCACTGGTAAGCTGTAATTGTCTTTTAGCTTTTTGTTCAGCAGTAATTTCTTGAAATTCTGAATCTGTATCTTCTAGATCGGACTGACTTGCAGAACTTTTTGATGGTGAGGTAGATTTATCAATAGATTGTTCAAGTTTTTGCTTTTGCATAATAGCTTTGAATTCTTCATCGCTGTCTTCTTCAGAGTCGTTTTGACTTTTAGGGTTGTCTTTTTCATCTACAGAGACATTTACAGATACACCCAAGGACATGATGCTATCATCTGCATTACTTGAGGATAAAAAACTTAAACTCTGATCACTATCAGCGACAAAACTTTCATATTCTGTATCATCATCGACATCATCATCTTCATCATTATCACTGCCGACATTATCATCTTCATTACCATCTATACTAATGTCGTACTTAGAATCTTTACAGAGGAAAACAGCATTGGGATCAGTTAGATCTAACATTGTACACAGTAATGTGGTTTGTGGATTAGTCATAGTTTGTGGAGCGGGTGGATTTCTATCTGATGGATTGTATACATCTACACTTTTTTCAAAGTTATCTGGTATAGATAATGAACCCCCAAAATCTTCAATGATTCTATTCATCTCCTCTTTTGTTACATTGAAATTCCACCTGTAAAATAAACAAAATCATAAAAACTTTTCCTTCTCTGTTGTAAAATATTAGAAAAATTAACATTAGTTTTCACTTACAAAATAACATATTTACTTAAGACAACATAAGTTGATACAATACTATAAAACATTACATGTACGTTTCATAAGAATCTGTACTTTTGATTGGCTGTCAACAATCACAAGGCATTCCAAAGTTGAATTTTTTTCCCAATATAATACAACTTTCATGACTGCAAGTGCTTCACACAACAACGTTACAACAATGCATAGGAAAACAAACAAAAGCTTTTTATAACTTGTAATTTCATGGTTGTGGCATATGAATGTAATTATGAGAATTGAATGCTGCTTTTTGTAATTCTATTGGGTTGTTAAAACATTGCCCATGCACACTTTTTTAGTTTGAAGCCCTTCATCATACAAAATGTGCTTTTACACCCCAAAAAATAACACAAAGAAGCATTCAATTCTTAACTACAGATCAAGTTTGGGTGAATTTATTCAGTCATGGTCAAGTAATGCATGATCAGTTATTCATTGTACAACAGAGAACCTTAAAAGGAAAGGATCCATAAAGTAGGCTTATGTTTTTCCTAAAGCAAAAACAGCTTTGACACAGAACTTGTGAATTCATTTACTTTTGTGGGTACTAATTTTCGTGGATAAAGGAAAAATAATATTTGTGGACATTTGATTTTGTGTTTTAGTCAAAGCCTGCATGCAAGCCAACAGAAAATTTGTACTTTATTGTACTTTAATGTTTATGACCTCTTCTGTATCACTGTGTATTACGAAATTTTCAAAGTGTAATAATATCAAAACAGCAAAAATACTGAATAAAAGCGACATAACATTTTGTACATATACCAACGGAAAATGTCTTTCACAGAAATTATTTTTATTGTCTAATTGCATTTAGTAGAAAATGAAGATTTTTTGTCAACTCAAGCCAAAATTTTTACAGAAAATGCAGACTGTATTTACAGAGGCTTTCGTTATAATATTTCTAACCTATTTTGATTACTCACTAGTTTATCTATGGTGTGCTGGTGTGTATTGTTTACAAAAAGTCCTAAATAACCCTTACTATACAAAAAACCTTGAGCTGAGTCATTAAAGTCAAACACACCCTAGGTGTACTTGAATTGGTCCATGTTTGTACTTGTTTTAACTAGTATCTTTATTTCAAAACTTCTTTTGGGGAAATCATTGCTAGCACTGCACGCAGTGATCCCCTTTCTATTTAGAACATAATTGTAAAATATAAGAGTACACAGTGAAAAGCTGTGGATTTACTATAAAATTTCCATGTTTAGCACTCCCCGTTGAAACAACAAAATGGTACAAAATCCTCAAATGCATGGTTCACCTGTACCCACAAAACCCACAAAATTTTGTATCCCTAACACAATTATTTATCCAATTTTAAATCTTCAGTGTGAAGTTGCTGACTTTCCCAACATTTGGACTTTAATGGGTAGTTGTTTCATTGACAATAGTACCACATCTCCTTATCTTTACATTTAAAAAAATTCAAATGTTATCTTGGTTTTGATGACTCAGTAAAACTGTAATGTCATTAAAGTGATGTCATAATGAAGATTTGCAAGAAACGGAAGGGAATTTAGAATTTTACATATTGTACAGTGCATTCTGTATGTTGATGTCTTTTGGTTTTTTATGTTGTTGGGTTGCTGTCTCATTTACTTTTAAATCACATCTTATTTCATTAGACAAAATTTTACCAAAGTCAAAATATGGGTCATGGTGACTCAAATGCTGTTAACTTGTGTACCATAATCATGGTTATATGATATGTAACACTGAAATTCAAGTTGGTTAATCAGAAATTAACCTATATACAAAAGTTAACTTATATAAATCAAAATCAAACATTGCCTTAAATACTCAGATTTGGTTTGACATGTTGTGTACTGAATAAAACAAGTGAAACTGCGAGCTACTGCTCCCTGATGATACCCCCACCCAAATATTTTGGTAAACAGGAAGTTGTTGAGTGATGAATCTGAAAACGCATCAGACGGTATAGCTGACTTATAAAAACCCTGAAACCAAATTTCAGAAATCCTTGTATTGTAGTTCCGGAGAAAGATGCGACGAAAAATATTCATGGGACGGAAGGACGGACTGACGGATGGATGGACTGACGGATAGACTGACGGACGAATGGTCAGACAGAGGTAAAACAGTATACCCCCACTTTTTTAAAGCGGGGGTATAACAATTGCTGAAGTAAAATATCACACAATATGAAATGATAATGAGAAGTAGCATAACCTATCTAAAGGAAAATAAGAAACAACCTTTCTCTGCCACCTGGCCCAGGTAAATATTTATCAGCTCTTTTCAAATTGAGAAGATGATTTGTAGATTTTAGAATTGCCAACCACTCAGCATCTAGTTCTATATTGATTGGTTTATCACTGTCATGTGGTATATCAAGTACCTGTTACAGAGAAAAAAATTTGCATAACAAATGTTAGCTTCAAGTTTTAGTGAACTTTAAACATATCCTTTTCAGTAAGTGATAAATGTGATCTTGAGGCTTATAAACCCTACTTGAAGGAACAGTCATGTTGGTTTTCTCATAAGAATTGTTTTTTATTTTGTTATGTCTAGAACTTTTATGGCTTGCTATGCTGTGTAGGTTTTGCTCATTGTTGAAGGTTGTAAGGCAACCTAAGTGGTTTGATCTCTGATGGATAATTGTCTCATTGGCAATCATAACACATCTATTTATATATGTATATCAAATTATGGAAAATATACAATATCACAGGTGTTTAACACTAAAGATGTCTGTTATAATTTGAATCTTACCAGATCTGTTACATAATATTATGGGCTATCTTATATTTTCAAATAAAAAATAGTTTGGATTTTCTTCAGTAAAATGAATTCTAACAGTTACCACAGAACAGAAGTTTTGTATAATACCTATTTAAATATTTAAGAAATCTCCTGACAGAACAGTTTCCAATGTTAAATATCAATGCAATTTGTCACCATTATTAAAAAACAAACATTACCATTACAAAAGTATCCAGAACCTGTATATATATAACAGAGACAGAAAAATATACCTGTAAAAATTTGCGTCTTGGCAGACACTTGTCCAGAGATAGGAACTTTGTGACCTTTGACTGACCATTAGAGGACTGCAATAAAATAACAAAATACATTTAATATCACATTATTAAAAGACAAATGTAGTGGTGCTCTCCCTGACCTGTAAGTTACATAACTAACCTTTATTAGCTGTGGAGTACTATCTATTCTAAGCTCAGTTGGTAGAGTGATGGCTTACTGTACCAGGGGTTCTGGGATAGACTACTGACAGGTACAGTGTTTTGAAGGAAAATCGTTCCCTAATGTTAAGATTTGTCACTCAAACTGAGAAATCCAGAGCAAATAAAAGAGATTAAATGTATTTAGCAGTGTATAAAAACTGGATATCATCACAATGGTACAAAAGAAAATCATGTGGGGAAGTGTTGGGTGCTTCCCTTGACATAATAGATATATAAGTGCCCTACATAAGCTACACTATTGGAGTATGACTTTAGCTCAGTTGGTAGAGTGGTGGCAAAATCATGCTAAATATTTGCATGATTTAAAGATTTCTTATAAACTGTATAGGTTGCACTTTGTAAATACAGCTGTTTCTCAAACCACGCCTCTTTTGGGGAGATATTTAATATTCATAGGTATGTTAATTTGTTAACGTACTGGTTCCCATTGATGATCTCTGTGTTTCATCTCATAGAGACATCACTTTGGAATGTAACCAGTATAGAAAAACATGGTAGCGGCTAAATTTTAATTCTTAGGAGGTCCAAAAATGGAGGTAAGGGTAGTATAGAATTTTAGTATAAGTTTAAACTCTTAGAAGTTCAGGGCATATAAATGTTGAAAATATGCCGCACAGCCCTATATTTTGACCTTTGAATAAAATAGTAGTGCATATAAACTTTCCGTTCTGGGATATTATTTTTCACGAAACTTCATAGTAAAAGTGTCACAGTTTTAGCCGCAAAGGGAGTTCCTATGGGAAATTGCATTGTCTGTATTTACAGAATTGCAACCTATAGTAGGCAAAAACGCAATAAAATAATCAAACAATCCTATAAGGAGATGACTGACAATTTGGACCATGTTGGCAGTGTCCCACTCCCCCCCCCCATTAAAGGGAGAATGTGTCCCATACACAGATGATGCCCACGCTTGCATATAACGTTATAAAGGGACATAACTCAAGAACAGTAAATGTGACGCCACCCAAATTGGAACTTGATCTGAGTTTTGTGGTAATAATCATTGTTTGTAAGTTTCATAACATTTGGTTGGGGCAAATTTAAGTTAGAGAACTGAAACGAAAAATTCAGCAATTTTTCCATTTGTAATGGAGCATAACTCTAGAACCGTAAAAGTGTCACCACCCAAATTCAAACTTGATCTGTATTTTGTTGTAATAAGCATTGTATATAAGTTTCATAACATTTTGTTGAGGAAAACATAAGTTAGAGAACGAAAACCAATTTCGGGATGTACAGACAGGTAACACTTAATACCCCCTCCACTGAGGCGAGGCATAAAATTCAAGTTATTGGTATAAATTGTCATTGAAGGGCAATAACTCCTACAAAGAGTCTACCAACAATCTCAGCAAAACTGACAGACTAATTTATAGATCTTGTCTTATGGGTCATTTTTAGAGTTTTCAAAAAAAAAATTCCCCTGGTAGTCCTTGAAAAAAATCTGATGGTTCTCACTATTATTTCTATAGCAAAATACCAAAATGGTTTAGGTCCTTGCAAAATTTTGGTGGTCAAAACCTTTGGACCACCAATTTTCAAGAACTCTGTATTTTTGCTATCAAAGTTCCTCTCTATCCATTATAATAGATTCATTATGTATCAGAACTTATACTTTTAGTGGAAATCCTAGGTAAACTTACTTACCTAATGTCTTAAAAGTTTAAAACCAAGGATTGCCAGGTATATATGGTATCGATATAAATTCTACCACACCATTGCATTGATTAGGATTTTAATCCATTGGGGAAAGTTCAAAATTGAAAATTAAATTATCCAGTGTGAACTAATACTGTAGTCCATGGTGTAAAGTGATAAAATCTGTTTCTATAATGATTTAAAGAAAAATGCCATATAGGAAGTTGGTGGGATATCTCACAAGACAAATCTAATCAATTTGTGGTTTATCAAAATTTATTAGAATTTCTTAAATTTTTTTTAATATTGAAAAGCAAAAATTTGCTTAGAAATTTCAGCTTGAGAATTATAATTTTGTATGAGGGACTATCTAGAAATCACAGATACAAAAGTGGACACCCATGTGTATGGAAACTTGCCTCATGTTGGACTGCTGCTGGAAACTTGATGTGAAGATGGGCAGCAAACCAGTACTCTGGTTTTAAGTGGTACAACAGTTCCTCATGGAATGGATTCCCTAGTCTTCCATCATCTATATCCTTCTGAAAATCTGGTTTCCTATTTAACAGCTCATGGACATCACCATACTTCCAAATGTTTCTAGGCCAATCATGGGATACAAATATCTTGATAGGTCTTGTTAACTAGATTTTATAATATAAAAAGATGTAGTATATATAACTCTACTTTTCCTAATGTATAAGAGAAGATTAAGGTAATGCATTAGCAAAACACATTTTTTTTCAATACCATAATAAACTGGAAAATTTTAAAACCATCTTTTTTGTGATTTGCTGACAGAATCTATGTTTGTGCCAATATAAATTAGAGAACTGACTTAAAATATTTCATTCAATTTAAAAATAAAAGTATGAGCAAAAAAAATAGTTACAGAATGGTTGTCTGCTTATACATTCATGTACGGTCATCATACTTTAAATCAGGTTTTCTTGAAATATTTGTGGAAGTTTTATTTTAATAACATTTCAACTCTAACCATGAAAATAGCAAAGAATAAAAATGCCACAACAATTTCCCTGTTTTCAGTAGTAGCTTTAAACTTTGTTTTTATCCTATTAAAAAGATTTATATTAAATATTGCGTAATCTAATTGTTGAAGGCCATACAGTGACCTATGGTTGCTTTCATCTTCGTCATTTGAAATCTGGTGGATAGTTGTCTCATTGGCAATCATATACCACATCTCCTTATTTTTTATATGTAATTCATTTATACCTTGTCTTTCCATTTCTTATTTTTGTAGTGTCTTACCTGCTTCAGTCTAAATACTTCTAAAGCTCTTACATGGTAAGCTGATCTCTTGGTGTCCTCAGTGTATGGTGGATGTTCATAATGACCTGGAATTATAAAATGTTCTATCAAAATATATTTAAATATCTTTTATTAACTGTGTGTTCAGATTTTCTTAATATCCTCTCAATACATCTTTATGATCTCACTTCTCTTTGAACAAATTCCTATACACTATTAACCTTGAAGAACAATCTTCTTTACTTTACTGTAAATTTAGAATTTTGGGTCCATTTACTATTATTGGAAAGTTGACAAATATCAGAGATTAAAAATTGTGATTTCAAGAAATGTTCATTACAAATCATGCTTTGAAAATTTAAAATGGGAGTTCACATTTTCTGAAACCTAGCCTGTTGCAATGTTTTGCAATAAAAAATACATTGCAAAAATTTTGGAATTTACAGTATATATTAATATTCCTTTTAATTAAGTTACAATATTTTAATCTATCAGTACTATAGGTAAAATCTGAAGTGTTGTAACTTTTAGTACATAAGTAAAATCAGATATAAGGAGAGTAAGTAGTAAAAGGGATAAATCACTTGTTTTCAAATCCTAATTTCTCATGGCTTCGATTATCACAATAAATTGTTTTTTCAGTAAAATCCGTTCCATTTATTTCTAGCTACAGTATATTAATTACTTGGTGAACCCTCGAATAATGCAACTGTGTGAGTATCGCAATATTAAGAACTCGCATTCCGATATCTGATGCATATATCTGTATGCAGCTTTTCCTGAAATCGCAATAATAAACCTCGCATTGATGTCCATTCTTCAAAAATCGCAATAATAAATGCACGCAATAATTTCTGAATTTACAGTATCGTATATTTCGTTCTTCAATATTTTAAAGCTATAATGAAGATTGGTATTCAGTATGCTTGATGTTAAGAGTAATTTCTAATCACTGATCAGTACCAATATTGTCAGGAAGGAAAAATCTAAATACTAAAAATTTATAGAAGTCATTGTATCTTAAAGACTTTTTATCTGCATCAAGCAATGTTAATAGGATCGAAAGTAAATATGAAGAAATTAAACATAACCTTATGTTTTCTGATAACCAACCTGATGTATTAGGATTGTGTGAAACATTTTTAACAAAACACACTACTGATAATGAATTACAAGTACCTGGTTATGTATTTGAAAGAAAGGACAGAACATCACAAGGTGGGGGTGGTCTGATTGTTTATTTTTCTGAAACAATTAAATTTTTAAGAAAAAACAACATCGAAATAGGGGGTATTGAAACAATGTGGGTTGAAATTAAACCAGATTACAAAAAATCCTTTTTATTATGTTTTGTGTATAGGCCACCAAAGTCACTGATAGATTGGGTTGATGATTTTGAAAAAGAAACAAGAGTGGCAATGACCATGAATTCAGATATAACAATTATGGGTGATTTTAATTTTAATTTTAAAGCACCAAACAAACCTCCTCAAAAATGGCTGAATGTTTTAGAATCGTACAATTTTCAACAACTGATTGTAGATGCCACAAGGGTAACAAAAGATTCTAGTACATTGATTGATCATATTTATGTCAATAATCCAATTATGGTACATGAATCACATGTGTGTAGATATGCAATTAGTGACCATTATCCTATCTGTTTAACAAGGAAAGAAGCAAATATAGAAAAAAAAGAATACACACAGTACAATTACTTATAGAAATTTCAAAAATTTCAACCAAAATAAATTTTTATTAGATCTGCAAACTACACCTTTTCATAAAATTGAATTTGAAGAAAACCCCTCTGACTGTCTACAATTGTTTTATGATATGTTGAACAAAGCTTTAGATAAACATGCTCCTGTTGTTAAAAAGAGAGTTAAAAGGGACAGACAGCCTGAATGGTATATGAGAGATAAATATAATGCACTTGGTTTATGGAGTGAGTATAGATTTTGGAGAAATAAAACTAAACATATCATAGATAGCTCAAAAAAGAATTATTATAAAAATATGGTAAAAGACTCCAATGACCCTTAAACTTTATGGAAATGTCTTCACAGTCTGAACCCAAAAGTTAAAAATACACCATATGAGTTAGCCACAGAAGATAACAATACAACTAAAAGTAAAAAATCAATAGCAGAAACTTTTAACAACTTTTTCACTTCCTGTGCTGAAAAATTAAGAGAACAAGGAAGTTATACACCTGTAAACAAAGCAGATTTCAGTAATCTTGGTAAATTTGTTAAAAATAAATTACATAAACATGATAAATTTTCTATACCACCAGTGATCATGAATGAGCTATTTAATGAGTTAACAAAACTTGATATAAACAAAGCATCTGGTATGGATAATATAGGACCAAAAATCCTAAGATTAAGCGCCCCTGTTATTGCATCACCTCTCACATACATATTTAATCGAATGATAGATACTGGTATATATCCTTCTTTACTGAAGAATGCTAAGGTAACACCAGTTTTCAAGGATGGTGACAAGCTTTTAGCAACAAATTACAGACCTATATCTGTTCTTCCAACTTTATCAAAATTAATAGAAAGGCATGTTTCTAATAACATGTACAAATACTTATCTAAACTTAAACTTTTACACCCTACACAATCTGGTTTCAGGCCACAGCATTCTTGTCAAACTGCACTTATTAATATCATTGACAAATGGTTGCAAGAAATGAATGATGGTAATTTAAACCTAGCAATTTTATTAGATTTTAAAAAAGCTTTTGATTTGGTAGATCATGACATTCTTTGCTTAAAGCTTGAACTTTATGGATTTAGTGAGGCTACTGTTAGTTTTTTCAAGTCATACCTGAATAACAGAAAACAGCAGGTAAACATTTGTAATGTTTACTCTGAACAACAACATGTAAAATTTGGTGTCCCCCAAGGTTCTATACTTGGACTTGGTCCTCTATTGTTTGTGCTATTTATAAACGACCTTCCCTTATGCATTGAAAATTGTGAAACAGACCTATATGCTGATGACACCACTCTTCATAAATCAGGGAAAAACATAGAAAATATACATGATGATGTTCAAGAAGATTTATACAGGGTTGAAGAGTGGTGCAAAATGAATAACATGTTCATTAATGCAAATAAAACAAAATGTTTGGTTACTGGAACAAAGCAGAAACTATCAATTCAGACTTATCAACCAAACTTAATAATAGATTCAAAAGTATTACAAAATTCTTCATGTGAAAAATTATTAGGTGTTAAAATTGACAGCACACTTAACTGGAGAAATCAAATTGACCAAGTTTGTGCTAATATATCATCCAGAATATACCTTCTTTCTAAAATAAAGAAATTTTTAGATATAAATGCAGGGAAAACATATTACAATGGGTATATTCTGCCCCTGATTGACTACTGCTGTATTATTTGGGGTGAATGTAAAAATGAAGGGATAGCAAGAATTTTAAAACTCCAAAAAAGGGCAGCAAGATTAATTCTAGATGCAGATCCTTTATCCCCCTCAGCCCCCTTATTTAAAGAACTTGGGTGGATGACAGTTGACAATAGAATAAAATACCACAAATATTTACTTCTATATAAATGTATGCATATGGAAGCACCAATGTACCTAGTTCAAAAGTTTAAACTGAAATCAGATAATAATCCTTACTCCCTGAGAGGCGTCACTCAAGGTAATCTGATAGTTCCTAAGCGAAAAGCTGAGCTATTTAAGAAATCTTTTGTTTATTCTGGATCAGTGTTATGGAATGGACTACAACACAAAATGCGTAAAGCTCAAAACACTTATACTTTTAACAAAGTATCAAGAAGTACTTAACACAGTCCTGATAAGATTATGTTTTCTACAATGTATTTGTATATTCTTTTATTTTTATTTGTATTTGATTTTTTGACTACATGTACATCTTGAACAGCCTTATATTTTATCATGTTAGTAATATTACATTGAACTAATTGACTGTAAATTAACTATGTGTAAATATCTGTTTTTGATTGTATTGTAATTTGTATGTGAGGGCCTCAGGGAAGATTAGCTTATTGTAACTAACTGAGTTTACCCTCTTTAAATAAAGAATTTATTATTATTATTACTATTATTATTATAATGTAGATTTGCATCACTATAATAAGTAGACTTCTTGCCAAAGTGAGGTCATAAATATAAATCCTAGGTTCCATAATAGGTATTTTTTGTCCAATGATATTTCACGCTTTCAGATGTTAGCTGGTAAATTTTGCTTTAAAATTTGGGATATTCTGCCAATTTCCTTCAATTCTGCAGATGTCAGCTTCACTTTGAAGTAATATTTGAATCTTGAGATATATTTTCTGAGATGAGATGCTGTTTTCTATCTATCAAATGCTACACAGAAATCTGACACATTCAAAGATGATTTTAACTTGTTGAAACTTCTAATAACTATAGAGACAAGTTTACCTTTTTGGGCATTATGGCCTTTATAAATACCAGAGCAACCAGCTATTCTAACTCCTCCTACTTGGATAACACCTGCATATCCTGTAACAGAAATAGATAAAATTAGTTTAAATACTAGAACAGCCAGCTATTCTAACTCCTCCTACTTGGATAACACCTGCATATCCTGTAACAGAAACAGATAAGTTAGTTTAAATACTAGAACAGCCAGCTATTCTAACTCCTTCTACATTGATAACACCTGCATATCCTGTAAGGGAAACCGATAAAGTTAGTTCAAACACTAGAACAGCCAGTTATTCTTACTCCTCCCACTTGGATAATACTTGCATATCTTGTTACAGAAACATGTAAGAGCATTTGTTTTTTACAAAAAGTTGTCCTAAGAATTTTGTTTAAAAATTACTTGTTATATAGCTCATAAGAACATTTTCATCTTAATGGTATAAAATTTACATTTGGTCACCAAATTAATTTTGGCTAAATGTCTGTGGGAGGAAAAGAAAAGAAAACAGATGAACAATACTATTTTGCAAGTTGACCCTTTGACTTTCATGATGTTGCATTTACTTTATACTATTAATGCTTTGTACACTCAACATATCAAGACTAACTGATTGGAATAATATAAGATATTTTTATTAACCAATCATGGTGCCCATAATTTGAGCTATACAATCAAATGAATTATTACAAAATAAAGCACAGTAAATGATTAGAGTGATTTAAGTACATTTAAACAAAAACATGCATACACATTTAAACAAAGTAACATATAAACAATGTCATTGACACAAAACATTAAGTCTTTTTGGAAGCCACTGCAACCTGGAGAAAATACATTTTCTTAATCAATTTACAGACCGAGGCCTATGGGAGACAACTCCTGATTGATTTTTCATTTTTGTTTCTATTTTTCAAACTACATTGATATTTTCTAGAAGAACTCTTTCTCCTTTAAAAAGGGAGTGCAATAATTTAGATAAGTTTGAAGTAACAAACAAATCTTCAGATGAAAGAATCCAAACAAATTTCATTCGATCAGATAACTATGAAAAATTTTGAATTTTGAAATAGAAATCTTGTGACCTCATATACATTTTTTTGTTCAAATGTTCAGATGCAGTTTAACCGTTTCGCCAACGAATTAACCAGGATAAACGCTTTATGTAGCTAACGATGAGTCCAAGTTTACCGGGTTCAGCATACCTCTTTTATATTTCCCACTGAAAAACATTGCAAACACAAGTTATCTTTCTTTGTTTATTGCCCGAATGAAAGTATAAATGTGGCGCTTCCGTTTGTTGAAAACCGTGTCAAAATCAACTGAAAATTAAGGATTTAATGAAATAAGGGAACATTTTTTGGAAAGAATTTGGAAGAATTGAAGCCACACTAGTATACTATCTTAACATAAAATGCCGTCTTATGTACAGAAAAATTTGGAATGGAAATTGTTCAGTGTAAGGAATTTGTACAACCATGCAACCTCGTAAAATTTTTCAATTTTTTGGGTAAGAATTTACGATTTTTGGTCCAAAAGAAGTATTTTATGTATTTCAATGCCGAAAATTAGCAGATTTGATTTTTTTCTAACAAAAAATTTATTAAAACATAAACAAAACTGTGTCCATGGTGTAAGTGAATAAAATAAAGACATTTATAGATAACTACAGATAAGTTTTTATTGATATTTAATATGAAGTTCTCCCACATGTGTCACAATAGCCAGGGGAGCCATTATCTCAGAGTAACTTCTGTCAGGGCGGCTATCAGTGAAAGCGTTAACTTGCATGCCTTGTTCTTAATGCATAAAATAATCATAAAAATCTGAAATACCATCCAATTACTCATAATTTGCCTTATTGAAATTATTATTTTAATGCAAAAAGTTGGCGAAAGGTGTATATATTCTATAATTATGTTAAAGTGTCAGTTCGTGACTAGGTATATGATTAATGACTTCCTTACCCATATAATAAATATTGGGAGCCACCCATCCACCATATGGTAACTCCTGTAAGTAATTTGATGCTTCATGGTTTCCACCTACAAATATGGTTAAAATAGGGGCTTTCTTTTCTCCAGAATAATACCTGTTTATATAAAAAAAAAACATTAAACAATCACAAGTCCTTAAGTAAAATATTATGATATCAATTTTAACAAACAACAGGGTTACTTTACGAAGTGTATAAAGATATGTTACATGTAACTTATTCAACCGAATGCTGACAAAATTGTATTACCAATGACAAAATAGCATTTCATAAATAGCAGTCCATTGTACAAAATGTATTTTCAAGTGCATCATAATCCCTTCTCTCTCAAGTAACTACTTCACTGACTGATTCTAAAACAGAAGTTACTACTTCTACCATGTCTACCTGTGATTCTGAAGAAGTGTGAGCCCTTCCATTTTTTTTAAAATCAGCTGACCTTAGGTTTTCTGATCTCTTTAAATTTCATATGAACATTTTTATATACAGTCAATTAAATATGCATGTATTGGTTTTCATGGAGGAATGTTACAGAAAATAAATCACTTTGCTTTTAAATTTCAAGCATTCTCAAGTTGATTGAAAATCAACATAAGTATTTGTATAAATGTAGAAGGTCCTGTTACAACAACACTTTAAGGAATTTGTATAAATGTTTATTACTTGTGGAATGTTTTCATTTCCTGATATTTTGCTGGTACAGCCATACATTGCATATCACTTTTATTTCTAACAGCTTGGAAATCTCCGCAGATGATCAGCAAATCAACCTTTATATTGTTCTTCTGTTCAAGTAATTCTATTGTTTCATAAATCTTATCTAATTCTCCATGGCAACAACCTTCTACTGCGATCTTCATCCTGAAAAAAATTTGATTGACATACATTTGTAAGAAGTATATTTTATTACCTTTTTTCTGGCATGAAGAAATACTGTGATATTTCTTCCAATGAGAATAATATTCCCGAACATTTTTTCAATTTGGATCCACTGTTGTAAAGAAACTTCTATACAATTCATATCCTTATTTTTTCTTACCTATTTGGTCCAAATTAGAGATAAACTGTTAACACAGAGATATGTCTCGCCTTTTTGTTATTTTGATAATGCAAATGTTGAAACTAAAATAGCAATACTTTTAACATGTAAGTTATGCAATTATTCTAAGTCAATGAACCATGACTAATGGTACAGGGCTAAACAATCACCATAGAAATGAGATGTGCCTATGCTTATACAACTGCATCCCAAATACCATTGACTTTTCATTAGTCGTTCCCTTTAAACAAACCTAAACACAAACATTAACTTGTAAACTATGTAATAGTTTCAAAGTCAATGAACCATAATGAGGGGGTGGGGTAATATAATCTCCATGGAAACGAAACTTGCAAATGCCAATACATTTGCATACCAAATATCATTGTCTTAACATTAGTGGTTCATCTTAATTTGACCTAATCACAAACTTATACATATAAACTTAAGGAAAAGTTTCAAAGTCAATAGACCATGACCGATGGGTAAGGACCAAATATTCTCCATGGAAATGAAATGTGGTAATGGTTATACAAATGCATACCAATCATCATTGGCCTACCACTAACGGTTCCCCTAAAACTGACCTAATCACAAACTAATACATGAAAACTAAGCAAAAGTTTCAAAGTCAAAAGACCATGACTGAGGGGGCGGGGCCAAAAATTCTCCATTGAAATGAGATATGCCAATGCTTATACAACTGCATACCAAATATCATTGACCTAACACTAGTGGTTTCCCATAAACTGACCTAATCACAAACTAATACATATAAACTAAGCAAAGTTTCAAAGTCAATAGACCATGACTGAGGGAGCAGGGCCAAATAATCTCCATGGTGATGAGGTGTGCCAATGCTAATACAACTGCATACCAAATATCAATGACCTACCACTAGTGGTTCACCATAAACTAGACCTAATCACATTCTTATACATTGTTGACGCCGCCAAAAACAGCATACCTATGTCTTGCTTTTTGACTCCGTCAAGGCGAGACAATAAAATTTACCACAATTTGATGAGAAAGTTGCCATCATAATATTGGAAGCTGCACAAAGTGTTCTTGATGACACCAGCAAGAATGACTCGTCATTTCCATCAAAGACAATTTGTCAAATTAGGATCAAGTACGGAACAACAAAAACATAAGTTTTTCGTAAGAACAATCACAATCTAAAATGATAAAACACCTAGCCTTTACACTAATCTGGAATTGTTTTTGATGAATGAGTTTCAAGGTCAATGCATTAACAATGTCAAGGAACAAAAGGTTCTTATTGTGACGTAATAACAAAAGCATTTTGACATAGGAAATTTACAGGAAAGTATAAATAAGATGTGGTATGAGTGCTAATGAGACAACTATCCATCCAAGTCACAATGTGTAGAAAGTAAACAATTATAGGTCAAAGTACGGCCTATGCATGAATTCGAAAGTCATCTATTGGACACCTCATAGCACAAAGATAACAGTAAATCAACACATGAGTACTGTTTTTATCTGCACTGGTACCTTTATGTCTATGTTACACACATGTACATACAATCTTAAAAGAGCACATTTTAAATGACTTTATTTCAACAAATTATTGTGATGAGTCAACTGACTTCTCAAGACTTTAGGTTACTGGCTACGATTACGTTTGACACTGATTGCCGGAATGCTTAGTGGGGTTAGGAATCGATTAATTGCAATAATATTTATGTCTACGTTTATGTTAGATTAATTAAACTTTTGACAGACTTTAGTTTTGTTGCTGAATTCTCCATTTGCTTGATACCGTAATCATAATTATTCTTATTATTAAAAAATAATATTTCAATAGTTTTTAAGTATTAATTGTTTTAATGTTCTTCAAGATAATATTACAGTTTAGTAGTGCCAAAGGCGAAGAATATAGTTCAATGGTTCAATGTATAGAAGAAAAGTGGTCACTTTTATGTATTTAACAGCACACTGTCAATTATAATTTGAACAATGGACGAAAAATTTCAAACTTTAGGTGTGTTTGAATCAAACTTAAAAATAGCAAGATTCAAATTTTATTCAGTTATAAAAACAAAGTTCATGAAAAATTGATGCATCAAAAAGCAAAGTTTGACAGCATTGAACTAAAATATTGTGAACTTGTGTATGCATGTATCCATGAAGGACGTAATTTCATTCCAAAATCAGATGAAGTGGACAAAAATATTAATATCACAAGAATAAAAAAATACTTTTCACCTGAAGCATGGCAGGCATTGAAAGCTGGTATAACATGTATAACATCAAAAAGGGAAATTGCAGAGTGGGACTGTTTAGTGTTCAAAATGAACCTGCACATTGTGGCATCACTCGTTTTTGATGGATGCCTTTAGAAGTTCCACCAAAAATGCATCAGCCTTAAACAGGCACCCAAAAGCACTTACTGGAAGTGCAGAAGCTGCCATTGTAAATAAAATACATAACCTGAATGCAATATTGTATCATTGAATTATTTAAGAATAAAAGTTTTCAAGTTGTATTTCAACATATTAATATATTACATACGTATGAGACGTTATATATTACTATTCCCAGCATACATTGAAATGCATTAACGTAGTAAAAACACAATGTAAAGTTTGTAATGTTTCAACATTATCGTAGCCAGTGCCAAGGCTTTATGGATAACCCATTCATATGTACAGGGGGTGTAAAGACGGAATAGATTTTCCCGAAAGCTGTTTACATGAAAATGATGTATTCCCATCAGGGATACAAGATCTTCCAATTAATGCATTTTTGGAAATTTCCACAGAAAAATGTGACGTCACATTGCAAATAATATTTTTACGTCACAATGTTCTATGATGCGATTTCTCCCCAAATGAATTCTAGTCACTTTGGCACCTGGTTAAATCGGCACCCGGTTTAGTCAATTTGGCACCTAGTCAAATATGGACGGTAAATTTGGCACCCGAGGTAGTTATTTCGGCACCCATGTTTAACATTATGCTTTGAAAGTAAACTATTGAAGACTGCGTTTTTTCCCTTTTTTTTTTTATATTTTCACTCGAGTTGTCAACATATATTGTAGCCTTTTCATCCTTATTTGGGTTTTTGATGTAAAATTAGAATAACAGGTAAAAAAGCTTTTGTGAGACCTCGAAATTGAAAGTATTATCCTTTTTCTTTTATTTAACTATTGTTAATCAATAAAAAATCACACAAAAAATAATTGTGCTTTGGTACTGGCTGTTATCAAAGAGAGACAATTCAATCTCAATATCAATGTGTTTTAATCACAGGAGAGATAAATCTTGTTACATGAGGAGTTATCTCATCAACTATAGTCTATTTTTTTTAAAACATCTTCTAGGTATTTAGTTTGCTTACCCATGTTTTATAATTAGTTCCTCACTTTGGAACCGCAAAGTAAACTTTAATAAAAACCCTTAATATTTATTTGCTATGTAATCTTTGTGGATTTAAAAAAAAAAAGATTCATTATAGGGTAATAAGGGCGCCATCAAATAAATAGATAAGAATGACAATTTAAGACATTGAAACATTCAAAATTCAATTGAGTGTATGAAAGTCTGATTCTTTTTCAATTTATTCTATAGAAAATTTTAAAAGTGACTATGAGTTTATTGAAAGAATATTTATTGAAAGAGTACATTTTTATTATTTTGACAACATATTTGTGAAGAGATATTTTGTATTGTACTTGTATGCGTTGAGGCCATTTATATAGTTGGCAGTAAAAAATACGCATGGGGGTTAAAAACGAGATGTGTTAAAAAAATGGCCATTATTAAAGCAAAAGTCCTGACTCGTAATTTTTGCATATATGAAACAAATCAGGAAGTATAATATATTTTGTGGCCAAATAATGGGTTGTTAATGGGTGCGAGTCATTGTGACACTGATAAGGGGGTGGACAGAATTATGGGAACTGTGGAATGAGAGGGCTGGAAATGGGAATTGGATAGATGAAAACTGGAGTCAGGGTGGTGTTAATCGTGAGAAAAGGGTTGTTAAAACAGGGATAATTCATGTTGACGATAAAATAGGAGTGCAGAGGAACAGAATACGGAGTGAAGTAGTCCACAGACACTTCATCGATGATAATGGAAGTTTAAAACCACCTTGACTGGCTATATAGCCTTCGCCTAGTCAGCCTTGCATAGCGCCTTCTAATATATTTTTTAAAGAATTTAATTTGATATTATAATTCCAAACAACTTATATAAAATGATTAAGTCTTTCAACGAAGGTTATAAATGATTAGCAAGGATGCAAATACTAAACTTTAGAACCTAAATAAATATCTTTAACAAATGAATTCAAAATAGCAATATGTATTCAATTTAACAAATATGTACTGAATAAGTGTCATGTAAATCATTAAATATAGAAACACGCAATTTCTATTTCTAAACAAGGGAAATAACAATTAAATGATAATCCTATCTGCCAAATGTATTTAAAAACAATTTGTTTTTATAAACAATTACTAATTAGAAAAAAAACACACACCCACTGAAGATAACATGTGTTTTAGTTGCAACAACTTTATCGTTAATAACCAACTGCCAATTTGAACCAGAAAAAAACACTGGTTTGGAACAAACTATACACTATGAACGACAACTCGACCTAGTATGTTACTCTTATTTGTTGATAATATAAACAAAAATTGATTTAAAAAAAGCGGTAATATGTAGCAATTAATAAAAATCAGAATGCCGTAGTAAAAATCATCAGGAAATTGATCTGCTTTGCCCCCCGGAGATGCCGATAAGTAAACTTGTACAAAATCATGTTTTCAGGGGAAGTGATGAATTTTCCTTACCAAAATAACAATTAATTCAGGTATCTAACATTGCTAACATATATTGATACCACGATAAAACATTGATAATACTGTCTAGTTAAATATACCTTATTGTCAAAGAATGCAGTAATAGTTTCGTCATCGACGGCCAAAGAAAAAATCGTGATGATAAAGCATGCAATTCCGGAAATTGACCGTCTCCGCAAATATTAAATTATAAAATTGAGTTATCGTCCTTTTCGCGCCAGACGACTATTGAAAAGGCTATATATTGGTCACCCATAACCATTGATAACAGAAGTTCCAATGGAAACTTTGATATAAGCAATGCCATTATAACTGTTCCTATTGGAACTTATATATTATTGTAAAGGAACTTCTCTGTCTTCTATGCACTCTAGCATAGCAGTAGCAGGTGCAAGGGAAGTCCCAATGCTCCCTAATTAGGATGTTCATGTTTGGCTATAAGGCAACAAATTTTACATAAAATTTCATTATATTCATTACTCATCATCCAAATAAATTTTTCAGGATTTTGTAATTGGGTAAAATTAGGACATTGTAAACTAATAGCATTGATGAGACTACAACGCTCAACTTTATACTTTGTACAAGTCAGTAAAAAATGGTTCTCATCTTCTACCTCGCCAGATGAGCAATGAATACACAATCTATTTTGCCTGATAATACCTTGATATCTTCCCAACTCTATTTGAAGTCTATGAGCTGTTATTCTGAATCTGGTGAAAATTCTCCTCTGCCCAAAATCTTTTATGATATTTAAATAATTTTCAAATCCAAAGTTTTGTTTAAACTTGAAGTATGTACATGATGTACATGATGTACACAGTTTGCCATCTGATAATGATGTTTTTTGCTTTTGCCAAAGATTAATATAATGAGTTTTCATGAATTTTTTACATGTCTTCTTAAAACTATTTGTTTTCATTGACTTAAAGTCAATTTGATTGTCAAAAATTACTTTTTTCTGTATATTCACAGAGCCATACCAAGAAGGTCGTTTGTTTTCATATAACTCTATGGAAGTTAAATAGGCATTTTTTAAAAGAGGAAATTGATTATCTAAATTTTCTAAGCGGTCCCAATATTTAAGCATTGCACCGACAACATTAAAATGTGTGGGTAATCTGCCAAGCTCCGACGAGGAGGCAAAATTATAACTCTTTTTCCCACAACCCAAAACAAATTTACATAATTTCACATGCAAATCTTCACATTTAAGTCTTTTATAAATTTCATCAAAGGACAAATCAGGGTTTTTTTTCCAATGTTGTTGTAAAGGGATTAAAGTAACCCCAAATTTCAAAACCATATAATAATATTGGCAAAATTGTGTGATCGAATACATCATTTGTACATGTAATGAAATTTTGGGTGAAGGAAAATGAGAAATAAATTCCTTGCACAGTTTAAAATAAGCTTTTAGACCCTTCTGATCAAGTTCATTTTGAGCATAGGAGAAAGATCCAACAAATGACCCCAAATTGGCCCAAGTCAACCAGAGCAATTAATTCTGAAAAATGAAAAGTATCCTCAAATTATGGGTTTTCGTGCTTTTTAGAATGCATTGTGACATCACAATTTGCATTGGAAGGCATGCACAGTACGAATTCATATGACGTATGAAAACAGATATGATCTGACGATATGAGAAAATCGTCTATTTGTGCAAAAAGTAAAATCACCAAAATACCGAACTCCGTGGAAAAGTCGAAAAAAAAATTCAAAACAGAAAGTCCCTAATCAAATGGCAAAATCAAAAGCTCAAACACATCAAATGAATGGATAACAACTGTCATATTCCTGATTTGGTATAGGCATCTTCTTATGTAGAAAATGGTGGATTAAACCTGGTTTTATAGCTAGCTAAACCTCTCACTTGTATGACAGTCGCATAAAATTCCATTATATTGACAACAGGGATAAAACTTAACGGTAGCCCAGTCGCCCATAGCGAGCATAATTTCACATGGGCGACTTCACATCACTTTCCAGATTTTCCAGGTGGCGATTGCAATATATTTATTTCATAACTCCAACTGACAAGTTTGTTCTATCGCTAGAAGTACTCGACGGTTATTTAATCATTCAAAACACATTATGGAAAAGCTTTCCGTAGAAAAAAAAACATCGCTGGTTTTGTTTTAAACGGAAGTCACGTTTTCAAACGGGGAACCAGTGAATAGACGAAGTGTAATCGGTACGTCCTAGCCAATCCAGTTGAATTTCATTACATACACGCTTTTTTTTTCATTTCGGAAAAATACTGAAGTGAATTTGATATATATTTCAAACATTTCTACTCAAACAGCCAGTAACAAATCAATTTATTTATTCCTAAATATTAATATTAAACAGTAAGTATGTATCGTTGTCATTCCCATGTCTGTCAAAATTTAAAATTAGAAACAATTTGTAAACTTCCTGTTTCAAAATGTGGAAATATATAAGCAGCGCTAAGCCTCCACAGAAATGAAAAAAATGAGGGATAAGGTTACATACTTTCGCGAATATGAGAAAACAAAAAGGGTGAGGAATTACTCAACTGATTGGGAAAAAGACAGGTACAACAGTCAACATTGTGTTATAATCTTAATCACTAAAAAAAACCCAAACAAATATGTAACAAAGATACACAAAAAGGCATACAGACAAAGCACACAAACGAAAATGAAAGACAAGAATACAAAAATTTACCATAGCTCAATAACACAATGTCAATGACGGGATGTATATGTACCGAGCCACGTCAAATGGATATCACCAAAAATAGACTGAACAGTAAAAGTAATATTCAAAAAGACAATTAAAAGAATACTATAACACGTTATTAAGATGATAAACAACGTCAGTACCCAGAATCTTATTAGTCTATACTTCAAGACGTAGTTTTGTAAATGGTCAAAGATATGGACTCTGTTTTTAAAATTGTATTCAATATTAATTTAAAAACCAATCGATTACTTTTTTATGATGTTGGTGCGTTGTCATGTGTAATAAAAACTTGAAAACATGCAGGCTGCTTTTTCGAAATTCCCCAAAAAAGTTGCAGGAAGTTGTTCAAGGATTATAAAACTCGAGTAAATGCAGGAGTCTACTGTGCGGGATATTTTCCGGAAGAACAAAATAACGGAAAAATATTTTGATATAAGCTGGGACTTTATACTATGTCCCAGATGCAAGATAAGAAAACATAATTTTAATTGATGATAAAACAATAAAACACAAGCTCTATAGAGTTTTGATCGAAAATATAAAACTAGTTACCATTACCTTATGTTAATCCCGCCTCTATATGGAGAACCTGGAATTCTTCTAGTAGTTGTTTCAATCTATGTTACACTCTAGTACACTATTTAACAAGTCTGTTTTCTTCAACCTCAATGACACTATTAGTTTGTTTAATTGATTAAAATTAACAAATTTACAGTTTATTACACTCACTGAAACAGCAACTCAGTCACATGTAAGGGGACGACCATTTGATATTCTGGGGGGGGCCAGGAGGATTTTGAAAATAAATAACTCAGCCTTGATAATCACAAAAATAAATGGTTTGTTCTGTGGTAGTTTGAAAATAAATTACCTGACTTGCAATGTATTGAAAATAAATAACTCAGCAGGTCTAATCGAAAGTATGAGATGGCACCAGATTCTTCATAAATTCATCTTTTTTCCAAAAAAAAAATCGGGAAACACTTCCCATATCTTTTAATAATACATGTATAAATATTATTTAAATATACTTGAAATGTCAGAAAATTGGTTTCATTTAACTTGAGGTTAATTGTCTCAGGAACACTTACCTCACTTTTATTAAACCAGGGCCGTAACTACATTGAGACAAATGCCTCATGTAGGAAATTTCAAAACCAAACGCTTGTCTCCATATCAATTTGTGTTCACCGTGAGTGCCTTGCAAGAAGCAAGTTCTGTTCTCCCTCAGACGTAGCCCCTAATTTTTCGGGATCAATGTTTCTTATTTATTTGTCTTTTGTTCATTGATTGCCCTTCTGTATTCTATTAGTGTCGCATTCATTTTGTAATTTAGTAATTTTATTATTAACTTGATCATGAGTTTAAAAAAACACAGCAGCCACAGACTTAATCATGTGAATTACATTTTTGCTTTTAATATCATGCATATTTGTCTTTTGATGTTGTTCCTAGAAACTTAAGTCTTACACTGAATCTATAACGCGATTTTGCTTTGAGACCAAAATATTGTCATAAAATTATTAAAACAGAACTTGCATTTTCAGTTTAAGAAAGGGTCTGGGGAACACCAGAAGGCATGATTTTGCATCATTTGTTCTATAGCTTTTTGGGCCTTCAGCGGTTCAAAAATCCTTCAAAAAAAATTTTGCCTCGCTCTGCTCGGCGAAACATGTTTCCCAATACTTTTAAAAGAGCCTTAGTTACAACCAAACTTTAATACTGTGTATGTATGCAGTACATGTATATGCATTGGGGGATATAGAAGATTCATTTCTGCAGAGGATAATAATTAATTCTGATTAAATGGTACATAATGACTTGACTATACATGAATTATTTATAATAAACAAATAATTTAAAAATTGTATGTTTTCGAATATTATAAATATAGTTGTGAAAATAAATAATCAGTCCCTTGCTTTAATGAAAATGAAAAATCTTGCTTCAATAGTGCAGAAAATAGATAATCTGTCCTCTTAGTTTACAAAAATAAATAACCGATCCAAAACAAATCCTCCTGGCCCCCCCCAGAATATCAAATGGTTGTCCCCTAATGCAGCTCTTTTAAATTGTTTTACATTTTTAATTTTGGGGTCCTTTATGGTGTGCCTCTGCAGGATGGTACAGTTTTTTCCAGTTCGCATTAGGTATATTTAAAAATATGAAGATGTGGTATAATTGCCAATGAGACAACTCTCCACCAAAGACCAAACAGGAACATATATATTGTTAGATATACTGTTCCCCTGACCAAATGACAGAATTTAAGTTAACGACTTATATTTATAAGAAGATGTGGTATGAGTGCCAATGAGACAACTATCCATCCAAGTCACAATGTGTAAAAAGTAAACAATTATAAGTCAAAGTATGGCCTTCAACACGGAGCCTTGGCTCACAACGAACAGCAAGCTAAAAAGGGCCCCATTAGGTCACTGAACAGCCTACATAATGAGCGAAACCCGTACCACATAGTCAGCTATTAAATTAGGTATGATTCATTTCTGTTATGATCTTAGACAATAACAAGAATGTATGCGATGTCGTGCTTAGCACACCTCTACTTGTAATTTAAAGTATAAAATGATATGAATTATGTGTCAGACAGTTCAGAAAAATGCTTACATTTTACAAGTCATCACTGATAATCTTAAGCTGCTGACTATTAAATATGAAATCTTTCTGTTCAGCAGTCCTTGAGAAAAGTGTGCCGAAATTTTTTTTAAGTTCATTCAACATAATGAGCAATTTTAAGAATGGGAAAACAGGAAGTTTGTGTCCTACAGATCTGAAAAATGCTGACACATTACAACTCATCACTGCCAAGCTGCTGACTAAGTATGAAGTCCTCCTGTTCAGTAGGAGTTGAGTAAAGTGTGGTTTAAATTTTAAAGTTCATCAATCATATTCAAAAATTAAAAGAATTCACAAGAAGGAAATAGAGGTCAGACAGATCTTAAGAATGCTCACATATTACAACTCATCACTGATAAGCTGCTGACTGAGAATGATGTCTTTCTATTCTGTAGGAGTTGAGTAAAGTGTTAAGAAAATTTTAAAGTTCATTTAACATATTCAGAAATTCAATGAATTCACAAGCAGGAAATAGATGTCCTACAGATCTTCAAAATGCTAACACATTACAACTCATCACTGCCACAAGCTGCTGACCAAATTTTTAAAAGTAATTTTGTTGAGTAGTACCTGAGGGAGCAACCATTTAACTTCAAGGGGGGGTTATGGTTTTTTGTCTGAGTCAGAAACATTTTTTTGCGCACAGTGTGAATATTTTTTTTTAGTTTTTCGAAGCTATCAATCAAATTATTTTTTCAAAATTTAACACTATAAGGTATGGGGAAAATCTGGATTCAGAATATTTTTTTTTGTCATCTGCTTGACCACAATATTTTTTTCATTGGGGATCAGAATATTTTTTTAGGAAAAAACCATAACCCCCACCCCCTTGAAGTTAAATGGTCGTTCCCTGAGAAAAGTGTGACGGAAATATTTGTTGGATGAACAGATGGATGGACAGATAGACAAGGTGAATGCAATATATCTCTCACTTTAAGAGTCTGAGCATAGTATTGTTTTACACAATCTGTTTCTGGTGACTATGACCTTGACCTTCAAGTAGCTAATAGTAGTGATCTATCTGATGGCAGTTATTTTCTGTTAATTTAAAGGTATCTTTGTCTTGTTATATGCTACCATAAACCCAAGTAAGGTTGAAGTCCCATGTGTAGTATTTGATTTACCATCCTCAAAACAATTTTATTCTACAACTTTTGGTCTATTTTTAGCAACTTGACCTTGACCTTGGATGCAGTGATCTCAAAATTAATAAAGATTTTTTTTTCATTTAATATGACCATATATCCAAGTAAGATTTCTATCCCATATGAAGTATATGATTAAACTTCGGGAAACTATTTTGCTGTACAAATTTCAGTCTATTTTTAGTAAATATGACCTTGCCCTTTGATGTAATGACCAAAATCAACCTTGAAGGGACCTTGACCTCTCATTATATGTGACCTTATCTCCAAGTATGGTTATAATCCCATCTATAGAATTTGATTTATCATCCCAAAACAATTTTTACTGAATAAAACAAACATCATAATGGACTTCTTATAATGTAGTGCTCCATGAAAGAATGATGACAAAATAAGAAGTTATTATGAGTCTGTAAAGGGAGATAATTTAAATGACTTGCAACAGTATAAAGCTTAGAATGGCTGCTGTGATAACTTTGGAATTTGGACTGACAGTATTGGTCATAAGTCGGTTTGAAAACCATCTTTTCTCTCCAAAAATGTTATGTTTACTATAACAATGAATAAGATGATTTAACATTAACATAATGTTTAAAATCTATGTATGACTAATAGCAGACTTCCAAGTCAGGACACTCTGGAAACATTCTTCCATAATCTCAGCATTTTGGAAGATATTTTTTGATAAACCTGAATCATGATAAAATCTTTTGCTTTTTGACACAAACAACATGTACAAAATATTTTCTGCTGCAGTGGTAACTATACTTTTGTCTAATATTTAAAAAAAAAATATTTATTTTGACATGTTTATTACAGCCAAATTCCCTATCATAAATTTCGAAATGCAAATCTAAATAATTTGTGATGTTTCCATATTGTTACCTATATGGCCTTCACCAAAAAAGTTATTCTTTAGACACAAGAAAGACTCTCTTCAACTATTTTATGGCAATAAGAACAAATATAACACAAATTTGTATTCTGCAGGCAATTAACAACCAGACAAATATTTTATTTTTCAAACTACATTTTTATTAAAACATTTATCATTCTCTCTTCTATCACTAACATTCACCCATACACACATACAACAGATACATCCATACACACATACAACAGATACATAAAATTACACACACACAACAGATACATCAAATTCAGTTCATTAATAACAACTTTAAGGGGGTACCAAACACTTTGACTAAGATATATTTGGCTAGTTTAATTTTCATAAAACTTTCACACAAAATATTAACTTTGACTTGTTGACAAAAATATAAAAATTTCAAGAAATTTTAATCATACATTTTACAGGATTAATTTCATCAGATATACATATTTTCAAACATCTTGGCACTTCAAATTTCTAGGTGGTGAGATTCTCGAGGTTTGACTTCAAACTCAATGGGAATTAACAATTTTTAACTCCAATTTAAAACAAAATGGTAAAAGATATCACAAAGAATCCATGTCTAATATAATCAGGAGATTTGCAAAATCGATCTCAAATTAAATTTTAGTGATTCAACAAAAAAATAAATAAATCTTTAAATTTGCATAATTATATAAGGTAAATCCAGAGGATTTGTCCCTGCTTCAACTCCAATATTTAAAAAGATAAACACAATCTAATTATCTCATTGGTCAATCTTCAGCTGTGCAAGCAAGAAATTATGTATATACAGTGTAGTAGTTTGACAAACACTAATTTTATTCATTGAGAAGGTTGATTTCTATCTACTTACAGTATGTGATTAAAACATTCAGCTGACTGTTAAAGAGTTAACTTCCTTAAGTGTTCTGTACCCCCTTAATTTACATAAAATCTACTAAGATTTTTTTTCCATTAACATAATTTATTCCTGCATTTTTTTTACTTTATTTCAAACAATTTTTTAGTTCAGCCATTAAATTATGCTTAACATCAAATAGCTAAAGCTTGTTCATTTTGCAATGTTTGACTTCAAATTTTAGTGAGAATTTTGCTCTATCAGTTTCAGTCATTTTAAAAATTCATATTCGAATAGTATAATGAACACAGAATGTGGCATTTTCTCTTCAGTGTACTATTTGCTTAAATATGATAAGTAAATACCTTATACAAAAAAAATCAACAGGCGTTGAGTTGTAAAATAAGATACAAGGAGAAAAAAAAACCAGGCTATACATTCAAATACTAAAATTCCTTTATAAACTGTTTGATCCACATATATTTGGAGATCAATTATTGCTGGATTGGATTGTGACATTGAAAATAAGCATAAATATAAATAATGTACTACAGTTTGGCAATGGTTATCTGTGACTCTCGGGTAGTCTGATGTGTCTCCTTGGAGATGACCTTGAGTCACTTGATTGTTGTGATGTTGACTCTTTTGGCTTACTGGCAGTGCCTGGCTTTCTAAACAAAGAACTGTATAGACTATTGGATATACTGACTACTAGTGAAAACAGCTTTAATGGGAAATCACTGAAAAAGAAACAAATTTAAATTTAAATGGAAATTTAATCTGACATGCAGCTGAAACATACTTTTTAAAATTTTTCATGTTTAAGTAATGAATTCATTTCTTCTAGCCCTTTCCTTATATTCATTTTTTTTATGTTTAACTTTATTGGGTAGGTATGATACCACGCTGAATATATTTGTATAGTGAGGTGGGTATGATGCCACCCCAAATATGTTTGTATAATTTAACAGGTATGTATGATGCCACTCAATATATTTGTATAATTATGTAGGTATGATGCCACTCTGAATATATTTGTACAATTTTGTGGGTATGGTGTTACTGTCCATGTATTTCTATAATTTGGTGGGTATGATGCCACTCTGAATATATTTTATAACTTAGTTGGTATGATGTGCTTACAACACTGTCCCTTAATAGGAGAGGATTGAGTGCTCACAAATATGTTAAACCTGCCACTTTCTGCGTGTGCCTGTCTAAAATAAGGAGCGTGTAATTCAATGGCTGTCATTGGTTGCTGTCTGTCATATTTGTCTGTAGACCTATACTTAGCAGGCTATAGTTGCTTACATGCTCCCTCTTTTGTCACTTATGGATAGTTTTCTCATTGGCAATTGTTCCACATCCTTATTTTTATAATTAGCTGGTTTCCTTTGAAGTAAGACCTTTCTAACCTATAACTACTGTGCATATTTAAAAGATTTGGCCTTGTATAATACCCTTTGCTTAAGCATTTTAAACAATCGCAGTTCATTTTAGACACCATTAGTCTCATGGAATTAGAATACAGGGGAAAACAAGTAAGATACTGAAATTCTGGATTATTTTGATGACCCAGGCGGATTATAGAAAAATCTCGTGTTATTTGGTAAAAATGAGATATATTTTTGTTATAAAATTTACTTACAAATTCTGTTGTGGTTCCTCTGCTTCATTGGCACTTACAATAAACAATGGAAACAGGATAGAGAACAGACATCCACTGTAATATAAATTAAGAAGATTTGGTATGATTGCCAATGAGACAACTATCCACCAGAGACCAACTGATGTAGGTGTAAGTAAATACAAGTCACCATATGGCTTTCAACAATGAGCAAAACTCATATTGCAGCACATTTATTCCAATTTAATATCTAATATCATTAAAATATGTTTTTGTTACATAAGTAGATATTGAACAAATTACTGGCATTTGCTGACTATGAAACAAAATATGAGAAATAAGCATGACTGAATAAAATGCTCCGCTGGGCGCAGCTTGATACGACCGCAGAAGTCGAACCCTGAACAGTTGGGGCAAGTATGGAAACAACATTCAAGCTTGATACAGCACTAAATTTGGATTGTGATTAAATACTTGACACAGCATAGGTTTCTGACACACAATGAATGTGGTCTAAGAACTTAAGAATTTTTAATTTACCTATTTAAACCATATCATTATTATTTGCTTTTATATATAAATCAGAAATAACCAATTTAAAATGGAAAATTTTAAAGAAAAAAAAAGGAAAAAAAGGAAAAAAAAAATCCCTCCCCCAAATTTTTTGAACCCCCTTAATTATGATTCATCACCCCCAAACTCAATCCCAGCCTTCCCTTTGTGGTATGGTACCTTGCAGTACAATTTCAGAGAGATCCATACACTTGAACACAAGTTATTGTCTCGAAACTAGAAAAATGCTTGTTTTTAGGCCCCTTTTTGGCCCCAAATTCCTAAATGTTTAGGGCAATTACCCCCAAACTCAAACCCAGCTTTCCCTTTGTGATATGGAACCTTGTAGTACAATTTCATAAAGATCCATACACTTACACACAAGTTATTGTCCTGAAACTAGAATAATGCTTGTTTTTTTCCCCTTTTTTGGCCCCTAACTCCTAAAATTTTGAAGCAATTACCCCCAAAATCAATCCCAGCCTTCCCTTTGCAATATGGTACCTTGCAGTCCAATTTCAGAGAGATCCATACACTTGAACACAAGTTATTGTCTGGAAACTAGAAAAATGCTTATTTTTAGTCCCTTTTTGGCCCCTTATTCCTAAATGTTTTGGGCAATTATCCCCAAACTCATTTTCAGCTTTCCCTTTGTGATATGGAACCTTGTAGTACAATTTTAGAAATATCCATACACTTACACACAAGTTATTGTCATGAAACTAGAAAAATGCTTGTTTTTTGCCCCTTTTTTGGCCCCTAATTCCTAAAATTTTGAGGAAATAACACCCCAAAATCAATCCCAGCATTCCCTTTGTGATATGGAACCTTGTGGTACAATGTCAGAGAGACCCATACACCAACACACAAGTTATGTCTTGAAGTTACAAAAATGCTTATTTTTGGCCCCTTTTTGGCCCCTAATTCCTTAACTGTTGGTATCAAAACCCCCAAAATCAATCCCAACCTTTCTTTTGTGGTATTGAACCTTATGGTAAAATTTCATAGAGATCCATTCACTTAAACTAAAGTTAGAGTGCGAAAACCAATGTGTGTTCGGACGACGACGACGACGACGCCAACGTCATTCCAATATACGACCGCAAAATTTTTTTGCAGTCGTATAAAAACTGGTTTGGCCATGTCACATGTTCCTGTGCATGTCCAAAGTCAAGAACCTAGGTGATGGTTGTCTTTTGACTTTAAATATCAAAATGATTTTTTTCATATCTATTTAGTTTCTTTTTCAAATCTATTTCATTAAAAATCTGTCAAACAAATACTTAAAAAGCCATATAAAGCAAAATGTAGATACTCTATTTTTTGTTGTGTCTTGCATATGAACATCATCTCTATAAAATTGATAGGTAGAAACACTCATCAAATCAATTTGCTTAATGCTTAATTGTTAGATTTTCCATAAAAAAAATCATTTTTAATTAGAGAAAGTCATAACAGAAAGGCAACATTTGTGTTTGGACAATTTAAAACTTGAAGCTCTTAAGACTTGAGATTGATCTTTCCATTTAAATTTATGAAATATACAGATTGTGGAAAGAGCAAAAAATAGTATCAAGCATGCTATACATTCTAAAAACATACCTGATAACAACAGAAGGATGGAATGAGGTTACTAAAGCTAGAGGTAAACCAAATCCACAAAAATATGGCCATCTATTTTCTATATACTGTAATCTCTTATGTACTTCCCAACCTAAAAAGAAAATCAAGAAAAAAATTTATAAAAAGCATTTTCGGACCAAATGAAACTGCAAATATACAACCTTACATGGTAAATATACGATAACGATAGTGTGAGTCAGTTACACAAGTTTTATTTAAACCACGTTTTTATGCGATACACATCTTTTAAACAATTTATCCAAACAACTTATTTTTTGTTCTCCAAGTTTTTTATTGGTAAAAACAGACTATATGATAATGTTTTTTTCTTTTTTCACTGACAAAAATATTTACAGATAAACTAGGATCCAAGATGCAGGATTTATGTTTTTAAAATACTTAAAATAATTGTTTCTATCTTTTTTAATGCTTAAAACATATGTTCACTAAGTTACAGAAGCAAGTTACATCTTATATAATTATTCTGTACATAAATAGAAAACCAGCCTTATAAACTTGTTGCAAGTCAGGTCATCTACCCTCTATATGGTATTATTTATTGTTATTCTGTGTTTCCTTTTAATAGTTCATAATTGAAATATTTGATTGTGTTATGAGTGTATCATGGTGAACATATTTAAGTTTTTTTAAGTTTTTATGCATTACAGAATCACTTAAAAAAAACCAATAATATTCATTGCAGCTTTGTATTGCCTTTAACTATATACAGGTGTTTACCAAAAAAACATAATCATGTGTCTACTTTCATATGTTACAAATATTATAACTAAAGCCATCTATGATATATAATAATTATTGGGTTTTCAGTTTGAATCTATGTTTGTTTAACTACACATCTGAAATAAACTTACCCATATTAAACCATTTATACTCAAAACTGTACAGTGAATGTAACAAGCACATGTGTACTAAACCAACAATTGTCCCAACCATAGGAATAGGTAGAAAACTGGCAGCTGTACTCTGAAATAAAAAAGCACATGTGTACTTAACCAACAACTGTACTGACCATAGGAATAGGTAGAAAACTGGCAGCTGTACTCTGGAAATAAACAAGCACATGTGTACTAAACCAACAACTGCCCCAACCATAGGAATAGGTAGAAAACTGGCAGCTGTACTCTGAAATAAACAAGCACATGTGTACTAAACCAACAATTATACCAACCATAGGAATGGATAAAAGCCCTAAATATATGAAAAGTACACAAAATTCAGCTATAACTATATATTCAATTTATCTTACAAGACCTTTCGAGTAAGAGATATCACATCAAGGGCATAGATTAGTGTATGAAAATATAAAAAAAAAACAATTGGAAAGACCAATTCGGGACGTTCTACATACAACCACTCAAGTTAAACCTTTACGGGGTGAAAATGTCTGATAAAGGAGGTTCCCTGCATATTCTTTGATGCTCTGATCTACTGGACAACAGCACTGAACAGTTGATTTACACATATTTGTTGTGTCCAACCTCATTATATCTACTGAAATATTAATTTTAATTACATATGTAAAAAAATGTCCCTTTCCCCATAAAAAAATGAATGGTCAGTGTCTAAACAGAAGGTAGGAAGTGTGAAGGACTGTACTGGAACAACAACCCAATGACATAACTAAAAATCAAAAGACATGTATAAAGCAATAAGAAATCTTTAACAATAGAATACGTTCTAAAACATACTGCGTTTAAAACAGTTGCAAATAATAACTTTATTCATGTTTTTCGTCTGCATTTTTAATTACAATACATGTTATTTTGTAGGTCTACACTATGGTCAGACTGAATGGATCAACATGGAATTAAATGATTGTTTATAAAACATTATGTTTACCTGTATTAGGAAGAGTGCCTGTCTAATGTAAAGCATTATGTTTACCTGTATTAGGAAGAGTGCCTGTCTAATGTAAAACTTTATGTTTACCTGTATTAGGAAGAGTGCCTGTCTAATGTAAAACTTTATGTTTACCTGTATTAGGAAGAGTGCCTGTCTAATGTAAAGCATTATGTTTACCTGTATAAGGAAGAGTTCCTGTCTAATGTAAAAGCATTATGTTTACCTGTATTAGGAAGAGTTCCTGTCTAATGTAAAACTTTATGTTTACCTGTATTAGGAAGGGTGCCTGTCTAATGTAAAACTTTATGTTTACCTGTATTAGGAAGAGTGCCTGTCTAATATAAAACATTATGTTTACCTGTATTAGGAAGAGTGCCTGTCTAATGTAAAGCATTATGTTTACCTGTATTAGGAAGAGTGCCTGTCTAATGTAAAGCATTATGTTTACCTGTATTAGGAAGAGTGCCTGTCTAATGTAAAGCATTATGTTTAGCTGTATTAGGAAGAGTGTCTGTCTAATGTAAAGCATTATGTTTACCTGTATTAGGAAGAGTGCCTGTCTAATGTAAAACTTTATGTTTACCTGTATTAGGAAGAGTGCCTGTCTAATGTAAAACTTTATGTTTACCTGTATTAGGAAGAGTGCCTGTCTAATGTAAAGCATTATGTTTACCTGTATTAGGAAGAGTGTCTGTCTAATGTAAAGCATTATGTTTACCTGTATTAGGAAGAGTTCCTGTCTAATGTAAAGCATTATGTTTACCTGTATTAGGAAGAGTGTCTGTCTAATGTAAAGCATTATGTTTACCTGTATTAGGAAGAGTGTCTGTCTAATGTAAAGCATTATGTTTAGCTGTATTAGGAAGAGTTCCTGTCTAATGTAAAGCATTATGTTTACCTGTATTAGGAAGAGTTCCTGTCTAATGTAAAGCATTATGTTTACCTGTATTAGGAAGAGTTCCTGTCTAATGTAAAGCATTATGTTTAGCTGTATTAGGAAGAGTTCCTGTCTAATGTAAAACTTTATGTTTACCTGTATTAGGAAGAGTGCCTGTCTAATGTAAAACTTTATGTTTACCTGTATTAGGAAGAGTTCCTGTCTAATGTAAAACTTTATGTTTACCTGTATTAGGAAGAGTTCCTGTCTAATGTAAAACTTTATGTTTACCTGTATTAGGAAGAGTGCCTGTCTAATGTTAAGCATTATGTTTACCTGTATTAGGAAGAGTGCCTGTCTAATGTAAAGCATTATGTTTACCTGTATTAGGAAGAGTTCCTGTCTAATGTAAAGCATTATGTTTACCTGTATTAGGAAGAGTTCCTGTCTAATGTAAAACTTTATGTTTACCTGTATTAGGAAGAGTTCCTGTCTAATGTAAAACTTTATGTTTACCTGTATTAGGAAGAGTTCCTGTCTAATGTAAAGCATTATGTTTACCTGTATTAGGAAGAGTTCCTGTCTAATGTAAAACTTTATGTTTACCTGTATTAGGAAGAGTTCCTGTCTAATGTAAAACTTTATGTTTACCTGTATTAGGAAGAGTTCCTGTCTAATGTAAAGCATTATGTTTACCTGTATTAGGAAGAGTTCCTGTCTAATGTAAAACTTTATGTTTACCTGTATTAGGAAGAGTTCCTGTCTAATGTAAAGCATTATGTTTACCTGTATTAGGAAGAGTGCCTGTCTAATGTAAAGCATTATGTTTAGCTGTATTAGGAAGAGTGTCTGTCTAATGTAAAGCATTATGTTTAGCTGTATTAGGAAGAGTTCCTGTCTAATGTAAAGCATTATGTTTACCTGTATTAGGAAGAGTTCCTGTCTAATGTAAAGCATTATGTTTACCTGTATTAGGAAGAGTTCCTGTCTAATGTAAAGCATTATGTTTAGCTGTATTAGGAAGAGTTCCTGTCTAATGTAAAACTTTATGTTTAGCTGTATTAGGAAGAGTTCCTGTCTAATGTAAAACTTTATGTTTACCTGTATTAGGAAGAGTGCCTGTCTAATGTTAAGCATTATGTTTACCTGTATTAGGAAGAGTTCCTGCCTAATGATATGATTGTTTATAAGACATTATATTTACCTGTATTAGGAAGAGTGCCTGTCTAATGTAAAGCATTATGTTTACCTGTATTAGGAAGAGTGCCTGTCTAATGTTAAGCATTATGTTTACCTGTATTAGGAAGAGTTCCTGTCTAATGTAAAGCATTATGTTTACCTGTATTAGGAAGAGTGCCTGTCTAATGTAAAACTTTGTGTTTAGCTGTATTAGGAAGAGTTCCTGTCTAATGTAAAGCATTATGTTTAGCTGTATTAGGAAGAGTGCCTGTCTAATGTAAAACTTTATGTTTACCTGTATTAGGAAGAGTGCCTGTCTAATGTAAAGCATTATGTTTACCTGTATTAGGAAGAGTTCCTGTCTAATGTAAAGCATTATGTTTAGCTGTATTAGGAAGAGTGCCTGTCTAATGTAAAACTTTATGTTTACCTGTATTAGGAAGAGTTCCTGTCTAATGTTAAGCATTATGTTTACCTGTATTAGGAAGAGTTCCTGTCTAATGTTAAGCATTATGTTTACCTGTATTAGGAAGAGTGCCTGTCTAATGTAAAGCATTATGTTTACCTGTATTAGGAAGAGTGCCTGTCTAATGTAAAACTTTATGTTTACCTGTATTAGGAAGAGTTCCTGTCTAATGTTAAGCATTATGTTTACCTGTATTAGGAAGAGTGCCTGTCTAATGTAAAGCATTATGTTTAGCTGTATTAGGAAGAGTTCCTGTCTAATGTAAAGCATTATGTTTACCTGTATTAGGAAGAGTTCCTGTCTAATGTAAAGCATTATGTTTAGCTGTATTAGGAAGAGTGCCTGTCTAATGTAAAGCATTATGTTTACCTGTATTAGGAAGAGTGCCTGTCTAATGTAAAGCATTATGTTTAGCTGTATTAGGAAGAGTTCCTGTCTAATGTAAAGCATTATGTTTACCTGTATTAGGAAGAGTTCCTGTCTAATGTAAAGCATTATGTTTACCTGTATTAGGAAGAGTGTCTGTCTAATGTAAAGCATTATGTTTACCTGTATTAGGAAGAGTGTCTGTCTAATGTAAAGCATTATGTTTACCTGTATTAGGAAGAGTTCCTGTCTAATGTAAAGCATTATGTTTACCTGTATTAGGAAGAGTGTCTGTCTAATGTAAAGCATTATGTTTACCTGTATTAGGAAGAGTGTCTGTCTAATGTAAAGCATTATGTTTACCTGTATTAGGAAGAGTGTCTGTCTAATGTAAAGCATTATGTTTACCTGTATTAGGAAGAGTGTCTGTCTAATGTAAAGCATTATGTTTACCTGTATTAGGAAGAGTTCCTGTCTAATGTAAAGCATTATGTTTAGCTGTATTAGGAAGAGTGCCTGTCTAATGTAAAACATTATGTTTACCTGTATTAGGAAGAGTTCCTGTCTAATGTAAAACTTTATGTTTACCTGTATTAGGAAGAGTGCCTGTCTAATGTAAAACATTATGTTTACCTGTATTAGGAAGAGTGCCTGTCTAATGTAAAGCATTATGTTTAGCTGTATTAGGAAGAGTGCCTGTCTAATGTAAAGCATTATGTTTACCTGTATTAGGAAGAGTTCCTGTCTAATGTAAAACTTTATGTTTAGCTGTATTAGGAAGAGTTCCTGTCTAATGTAAAACTTTATATTTACCTGTATTAGGAAGAGTTCCTGTCTAATGTAAAGCATTATGTTTACCTGTATTAGGAAGAGTGTCTGTCTAATGTAAAGCATTATGTTTACCTGTATTAGGAAGAGTTCCTGTCTAATGTAAAGCATTATGTTTAGCTGTATTAGGAAGAGTGCCTGTCTAATGTAAAACATTATGTTTACCTGTATTAGGAAGAGTTCCTGTCTAATGTAAAACTTTATATTTACCTGTATTAGGAAGAGTGCCTGTCTAATGTAAAACATTATGTTTACCTGTATTAGGAAGAGTGCCTGTCTAATGTAAAGCATTATGTTTAGCTGTATTAGGAAGAGTGCCTGTCTAATGTAAAGCATTATGTTTACCTGTATTAGGAAGAGTTCCTGTCTAATGTAAAACTTTATGTTTAGCTGTATTAGGAAGAG